ATTACATGCAATTACATGCAATTACATACAATTACATACATACAATTACATACATACAACTACATACAACTACATACAAACAATTACATACAATTACATACAATTACATACAATTACATACAATTACATACAATGACATACAATTACATACAATTGCATACAATTACATACAATTACATACAATTACATACAATTACATACAATTACATACAATTACATACATACAATTACATACATACAATTACATACATACAATTACATACATACGATTACATACAATTACATACATACAATTACATACATACAACTACATACAAACAATTACATACAATTACATACAATTACATACAATTACATACAATTACATACAGTTACATACAATTACATACAATTACATACAATTACATACAATTACATACAATTACATACAATTACATGCAATTACATACAATTACATACAATTACATGCAATTACATGCAATTACATACAATTACATACATACAATTACATACATACAACTACATACAAACAATTACATACAATTACATACAATTACATACAATTACATACAGTTACATACAATTACCTACAATCATACATACAGTTACATAAAATTACATACAATTACATACAATTACATACAATTACATACAATTACATACATACATACATACCTACGTACATACATACATACATACACGCACACACACAGAGACATACATGCATGCATGCATACATACACGCACACACACACACACACGCAGAGACATACATGCATGCATGCATACATACAATGTGATGTGAAATGGTTACATGTATTTTCAATGTTTATTATTGCGCACTTCTAAATTTGCAGATGTTTATGTTTATGATTTGGTGTGATTTAACAGATATGCTGTTTGGACCAGGTGGTGCATCAACGTTCCAATCCTCTTCCTCTTGTCGGGCCATTGTGCTCTTGGCCGACCATTGAAAGAGATTTCTCGACCTTTGGTTATGACCAATATCTACATCGTCTTTTCTTGGATGGCAAATGTGACCGAGTCGGGTTTCTTAAAATGGGCATTGATTGTTACTTCCTTCCTCATGTATGGTTGCGCGAGCATGGACATGATGAAGTGGAGCTCCGATTTCCAGCGACTTGCTCCAGCAGATCTGCCCAGCCGTCGCATCCGACCCTGGCTCTCCAACGGCTTGATCATCCACTTTCAATGCTTTGCGGCCATCTACATGTCTTCGAGTTTGGGAATCATTGATGCTGAGAAGGAATCCATGGGTTATTTCATTACCACCTTTGGCACCAAGATCGCCTACTGCGCCACTTTCGTCTTTGTCCGTGCTGACGAGTATCACAAGACCCTCACGGATGTCCTTCGCAAGGTCAGTGTTTCCAATGTGGGCATGATCTCCATCTTGCGTGGAAGTTTTGACATCATCGTGCCCTGCGTCCTGGACCATGCGGGTCGTTGCAAACTGCCAACACAGGTCTCCGGAGACATGGCGAAGTTGGAGAAGATGCTGGGAGCACCTGTGGCCGGTGCAAACCTCAAAGATCTGTTGACCACCAAGGACCAAACGGATTTCGCTGCCTATGTTCGGAATGTGGTCCGCCAGGCTGATTGTCCTCAAGCTTTCAGCGAGGCAACATTGACCACCAGTGGAGTATGGAGCTGCGGCGCCGGGGTGACACCTCCAATCGCACAGGTCCTTCACAGCAAGATGCAGGGCACCAATTCAAAACTGCAAGCAACCCTGCATTTGTCGGTGGTACCACGTTCTGCTGTGAGCAGTGGCAAGGAGCCAACATGAGCCAACTCAACGTACACAGTGATGTTATGTAAACATTCAGAACTCTTTGAGGGTATCTGATAAACTTGGTGTCACGTCTCATATCACGCTCGGACCTTCCATGATGTTCCTTTGGGAAAGGATCGGTTCAAACGATCCTACCATTTGGGATCGTTTCCGAATGTCATCTCAGATTGTACAGTATCTATTGATATTTCCAATATTTTCCAGTGAGATAAATCGATGATTTCTGGACATGTTCCAAGCGCAGGAGCGTCACCTTGTTGCTGCCATTCAGTTCACAGAGGAACAGGAAGATGAAGTCGATGCGACGGGTGGATTTGAGACCTTCAAGGCCTCCGAAAGGCAGACCTCTGCAGGTCCGAGCCGAACGCCGCAAAGTACGCGTCGCGCCGTTTTTTGTGAGAACTTTCGGCGATTCTCTGAGACATCATGCTACAAACAGCTATGCAAATTGGAATAGATATGTAACATACCTAAAGTCTAAAGTGTGCAAAACATACGTATGCATATGTTTTTTTAAAACACATATACAGCATATACAACATACACAATACGTATACAGATACATGTTACTATATATATAATTATATAATATATAGTTATATAGTATACAATGTGTTCAGATGTAATTCCGTGTGATTCCATGTGCCATATGGCTCTTGTGGCATCTTGTGGCATCTTTCATGGGAGGTCAATCTACGACCATCAGCGCTTCCGGCTCCGAGGGCATCGTGGCCAACCTGGCGGATCTGCACCGCTTGGGCGCCAGCCTTGGCCATGACGAGGACGAAAGTGAGGAAGGCAGCGTCTATTGGGGCTACTCCAGGACGGCTTTCTGAATGCTTTTGGAGATGTTTTTTGTAGACTCTAAGTAGATGTTATGTTAAGTAGATGCTATGTAGATCTTTATGTATTGAGATGTATTGAAATGTATCGGACTCTAGATGAAGATGATATTCATGTGAAAATACGATTGAAAATGCAAACATCAAGACATTGACAGATAGTCATTGACAGGATGATTGTCAGGGAAGCTACAAGCTTTCTGTTCCTTTCATCTCCCCAAATCTGATGGGTTTTTGTGTCAGGAGTGATGATACCATGTCTCATCTGGGTGCCTTTGTGCCTCAAGCGGGCGCCTTTGATGCGCGCATTTGCGGAACTTGGGAGGGCACCACCAGCGAGGAGTTGGGCGGCTACACGCAGACCATCACCTTTAACACCGATTGTCTCAACGCCAAGATCACAGTCATGGGGCAGACGCCAGGTGAAAAATTCTGAGATATTTAAATGATATATTTCTGATGGATTTCTGTTTTATTTCGGAGTTCTGAGATATTTAAATCTGAGAGATTCCCGATATGTGTCTGCTTCATGTCTGATATATTTTTGATGGATTTCTGAGATATTTAAATGTGAGAGATTCCCGATATGTTTCTGCTTCATTTCTGATATATTTTTGATGGATCTCTGAGATATTTAGAATCTGAGAGATTCCCGATATGTTTCTGCTTCATTTCTGATATATTTTTGATGGATTTCTGAGATATTTAAATCTGAGAGATTCCCGATATGTTTCTGCTTCATTTCTGATATATTTTTGATGGATTTCTGAGATATTTAAATCTGAGAGTTTTCCCGAATATGTTTCTGCTCATTTCTGATATATTTTTGATGGATTTCTGAGATATTTAAATCTGAGAGATTCCCGATATGTTTCTGCTTCATTTCTGATATATTTTTGATGGATTTCTGAGATATTTAAATCTGAGAGATTCCCGATATGTTTCTGCTTCATTTCTGATATATTTTTGATGGATTTCTGAGATATTTAAATCTGAGAGATACCCGATATGTTTCTGCTTCATTTCTGATATATTTTTGATGGATTTCTGAGATATTTAAATCTGAGAGATTCCCGATATGTTTCTGCTTCATTTCTGATATATTTTTGACCTGAGATATTTAAATGTGAGAGATTCCCGATATGTTTCTGCTTCATGTCTGATATATTTTGATGGATTTCTGAGATATTTAAATCTGAGAGATTCCCGATATGTTTCTGCTTCATTTCTGATATATTTTTGATGGATTTCTGAGATATTTAAATCTGAGAGATACCCGATATGTTTCTGCTTCATTTCTGATATATATTTTTGATGGATTTCTGAGATATTTAAATCTGAGAGATTCCCGATATGTTTCTGCTTCATTTCTGATATATTTTTGATGGATTTCTGAGATATTTAAATCTGAGAGATTCCCGATATGTTTCTGCTTCATTTCTGATATATTTTTGATGGATTTCTGAGATATTTAAATCTGAGAGATTCCCGATATGTTTCTGCTTCATTTCTGATATATTTTTGATGGATTTCTGAGATATTTAAATCTGAGAGATTCCCGATATGTTTCTGCTTCATGTCTGATATATTTTTGATGGATTTCTGAGATATTTAAATCTGAGAGATTCCCGATATGTGTCTGCTTCATTTCTGATATATTTTTGATGGATTTCTGAGATATTTAAATCTGAGAGATACCCAATATGTTTCTGCTTCATTTCTGATATATTTTTGATGGATTTCTGAGATATTTAATTTTGAGAGATTCCCGATATGTTTCTGCTTCATTTCTGATATATTTTTGATGGATTTCTGAGATATTTAAATCTGAGAGATTCCCGATATGTTTCTGCTTCATTTCTGATATATTTTTGATGGATTTCTGAGATATTTAAATCTGAGAGATTCCCGATATGTGTCTGCTTCGTTTCTGATATATTTTTGATGGATTTCTGAGATATGTAAATCTGAGAGGTTCCCGATATGTTTCTGCTTCATTTCTGATATATTTTTGATGGATTTCTGAGATATTTAAATCTGAGAGATACCCAATATGTTTCTGCTTCATTTCTGATATATTTTTGATGGATTTCTGAGATATTTAAATCTGAGAGATTCCCGATATGTTTCTGCTTCATTTCTGATATATTTTTGATGGATTTCTGAGATACTTAAATCTGAGAGATTCCCGATATGTTTCTGCTTCATTTCTGATATATTTTTGATGGATCTCTGAGATATGTAAATCTGAGAGGTTCCCGATATGTTTCTGCTTCATTTCTGATATATTTTTGATGGATTTCTGAGATATTTAAATCTGAGAGATACCCGATATGTTTCTGCTTCATTTCTGATATATTTTTGATGGATTTCTGAGATATTTAAATCTGAGAGATTCCCGATATGTTTCTGCTTCATTTCTGATATATTTTTGATGGATTTCTGAGATATTTAAATCTGAGAGATTCCCGATATGTTTCTGCTTCATTTCTGATATATTTTTGATGGATTTCTGAGATATTTAAATCTGAGAGATTCCCGATATGTGTCTGCTTCATTTCTGATATATATTTTTGATGGATTTCTGAGATATTTAAATCTGAGAGATTCCCGATATGTTTCTGCCTCATTTCTGATATATTTTTGATGGGTTTCTGAGATATTTAAATGTGAGAGATTCCCGATATGTTTCTGCTTCATTTCTGATATATTTTTGATGGATTTCTGAGATATTTAAATGTGAGAGATTCCCGATATGTTTCTGCTTCATTTCTGATATATTTTTGATGGATTTCTGAGATATGTCATTTATTTTTTTTGATGGATTTCTGATGGGTTTTCTGATATATTTCTTGTAGATTTCCCAGATATCTCTGGTTTATTTCTGATTGATTTCTGATATATGTCTGATTGATGTCTGATGGGTTCCCCAGATATTTCCGATGGATCTGAGATATTTCCGGTGTATTTCTCATGGGTTTCTGAAGTATGTCTGATATATTTGTGCTTTACGTCTGAGATATTTCTGATGGATTACAGATGGGTTTCTGAAATATGTCTGATAGTTCCTGAAATATTTCTGAGATATTTCCGATATGTTTCTGATCGATTTCTGACGGATTTCTAAAATATTTTGAAATGTGTCCGATATCTGTTTGATTGATTTCTTATATATGTCTTGTGGATGTTTGAAATAGTTCCTATGTATTTCTGATGGGTTTTTGAGATATTTGTGAAATTTTTGTGATCGATTTCTGAAATATTTCTGAGATATTCCTCATGCATGTCTGATGGATTTCTGAAATATGTCTGATGGATTTCTGAGCTATTTCTGTTTTATTTCTGATGGATTTCTGAGATATTTCTGATGGGTTTTTGAAATATTTCGGAGATAGTTCTGAGATATATCTGATAGATTTCTGACATATTTCTGATTGATATCTTCAATCTCTTCTGATTCTGTGTGCAAACATGGACAGCTATTTAGAAATTATAAATATGAATTGTATTAATTTCATTCAGCATATTCAGCGTTTGTGAATCCAGAGAGACACAAAGTGGGAATAGTGAGACTTGTTGAAGCAGATCGTTTGTTGAGGACCTTGGCGGCACAGTTCCGCATGAACTGCTCGGTGGAACCCAAGCAGCTGAACATCCAGGTGACTGCCGCAGCCGCAACTGCGACGAATTTGAAAAAATGTGGGCAATTCTAAGTGATATTCGGGTGGCTTCGCGATGAGAACCGCCCGCACAGGGAATAGGACGGAGAGGAAAGAGGGGGGCCTACTTGGCCCAACCAAAAGCTGACGGGGTCAAACTTGGCCGTCCTTGGCCTGCCAACAACTTGAGCCCAACTGGGGTCCAACATGGCGCAACTTGTGCACGTTTGGACGCAAGTTGGGCTTAGCACGCACAACTTGGTCCTGTGTGGGGGCGTCTGGCGTAGCCCAATCTGGGCAACAAGGCTTCGCGCGAACCAAGCCCCAAAAGGTTGGAAATAGCAGTAAACATGCGAGGTTTCAGCATGTCGCATTGAGAGTCCGCTAAATTGGCTCTGGTTGGGCCCAACTTGGCCCCGGGCCACCCAAAGGTGCCCAACTTGGGTCAACTTGGGTGAACTTAGGCCCAAGCTGCGCTGTCTTGGGCCCAACTGTAGCCCAAGTTAGCGAAAAGTGGTCATGTTGGGCTGAAGTTGGGCCCGAACGATGGACATGGAAGTCCAAGTCAGTTCTAACATGCCGCAGCTTGGCACCTTTGGCGACAGCTTCACACCAAGTTGGGGCCAACGGGGGCAGGAACATTGCTTCAAACAATGCGTCGTCAAGAGCAAAACTGTGGAAAATACCGGTGAAAACGAGCGTTTTGAAAGTTTCGGATTGGGCCGGCTATCCCCCCTTTGCAGGCCATATGGACCTCAACTTGGTCCGAAGTTGCTCCCACATGGGTCCAAGTTGCGGCCAAGTTGCGCCATCTTAGGGCCAAGTTAGGCCGAAGTTGGGGCCAATTGATCCAGGTTGGGCCGAAGTTGGGGCCTTGCTGGCCGAAGTTGACCCCAAGTCGGGCGCATGTTGCGGCCACGTTGGATCGAAACAGTCCATTTGGGCGATGTTGGGCCGATTTGTAAAATGTGCAAATTACCATGGTCCCGTACCAGTCTGACAGATCTGTCGGCACCTTCGGTGCAGCAGCGGGTGTGTTCACATCGGTTGGGAGACACGCTATGCCATGCAAAAAGGATCAAAAAGGTGAGAGCGTGACAGTGTTGGAAAACGATGTCGGCACAAGAAACATGTTCCTTGGAGATACGGCAAGATGTGTACACATGCGTAAACGGTGTAAGTAGGACTGCTTTAATCGCTCGAACCTTCGCTCCTCTTCGGTCCTTCCCGCATGCTTTCCCGACCAGAAGCCGCCAGGTGTTGCCCAAGGACGACGGCCCCCCCCCGCCAGCCATTCCTTACATCTTCAAGCCACTGAGCCGCACTGAGCTGCATGGTCTCAGTGTCTCTCGATGCCCAAAGGAATCCAAGGAGTTCTGAAGACACGCGCAAGTGCAAGCGAGATTTCTCACCAGATTTCCCACCAGATGCCCCACCATGCATTCCCTTCAGGTGCTTCTAGATGATTTTTGACATGTTACATGTTCGTGTATACATATATATATATATATACATATGTTTATATTTGTTATTTTTATATTATACATATCTTCTGTCATTCTCTAGATGATTTCTGAATGCGATTTCAGGTTCGACTCTGACGGCTCTTTGGTTCTTTGTGGCCCTGCAGATCAAAAGATGCGTCGCCCAAACAGCTTTGAGGGCGTTGGCCTGTGCATCATGCGTCGCCTCGAAGAGAAGACGGACAAACACATGGAGAAGTGTCTGACACAGGCGCTGCAACCACTCTTTGAACCTGATCCTGAGTTCAGCAGGAGGAGCACGGAAGAACATGGCGCAAGTTCCCATGCCAATCAGTTCTCAGATCCTCACGCCATGTACCCCAAGAAGAACCATTGGATGCAGGAGCCGTGGCCAGGGTTCTCATGTCGGATTTTTTTTGCAAACTTACATGCATCATCATGCATCGTAAATCATTGTAAGATGCTTTCAAACGTTTGTGATTCACACTAATCATTTGATGTTTTGACTGATTGTCACAAGTTTCTGAATTCTTGGCTTAAGTTCAAACATATCCACGATGCTGCGGTTGGCAATTTGACAATAGGAACCCGCGGTGGCAGCCTCCATGGCACTGGCTCTCACAAGCACTCTCATTGCTCTCAAGAAGTCCATTTGAGGAGAACTGGTAAGAGAACTGGTTATGGCAGTAATGGAGAATAATGGAGAATAATGGAGAATAGATATGCTATGGCACGGCATGGCCATGCATGGCACACGCACATTGTGCGAGACAGATGCACAATGCGCAGTTTCCGAGTTCCAGGAGGCAATGTCTTGCAGAACTGCCTCATGTTCAGACTTGATTGGAGGTTCCATGGCCTTCAATGGGCCTTCAATGGTCTCCAGTCTGGATTTTCAAGTTTGTTCATGTTCATTCCGGATTTTCAATGAATTCAATGAATTCGTTGTACAGGTCTCAAGAAATGAGATAAAAAATGAGTTTGAAGGGGAAGACCACGCGACACTCCGCTTTATCGCTCTTCCGACATGCAAAGCTGCTGAGAAATTCCAAGAAATGCAAGGGTTTGGAATTGAATATGATACTTATAACTTATATATTTATATATATATATATATATACATACATACACAGACTATACATATGCATTATACATATACATTACACATATATTACGAAAGCCAGCCGGGAAGCTGGCTAGTTGCTATTTGCGAACGAAGTGAGAATAGGGGGTCTGGGGGGGGGTAGTTGCCAAACGGGCCAAAAATCGGGAAAATAGGTGGTAAAAATGGCCGGCCGCTAGTATGGTTTGGCAGGGTAATGTACCAGGCGGCAAAACAGTGACGGTGGGTATCGATTCCCCCTAGGTCCGGTTTTCTGGGGGTTTCTGGGCTCAGTCAATGGACAGATAGATGGGCCAGCTAGTTAGAGGAGATTGGAGAGAGAAGGACATTGGGTGAAAAGTATGTGCAAGAAGGGTTTCTGGGTGAAGAGTCTCTGGGTGAAAAGTATATGGGTGAAAAGTCTGTGCATGAAGAGTTTCTGGGTGAAGAGTCTCTGGGTGAAAAGTCTGTGCAAGAAGAGTTTCTGGGTGAAGAGTCTCTGGGTGAAAAGTATATGGGTGAAAAGTATGTGCAAGAAGAGTTTTTGGGTGAAGAGTCTCTGGGTGAAAAGTATATGAGTGAAAAGTATGTGCAAGAAGAGTTTCTGGGTGAAGAGTCTCTGGGTGAAAAGTCTCTGCAAGAAGAGTTTCTGGGTGAAGAGTCTCTGGGTGAAAAGTATATGGGTGAAAAGCATGTGCAAGAAGAGTTTCTGGGTGAAGAGTCTCTGGGTGAAAAATCTGTGCAAAAAGAGTTCCTGGGTGAAGAGTCTCTGGGTGAAAAGTATATGGGTGAAAAGTATGTGCAAGAAGAGTTTCTGGGTGAAGAGTTTGGTGAAAAGTATATGAAAGAAGAGTTTCTGGGTGAAAAGTAGGTGGAAGAAGAGTTTCTGGGTAAAGAGTCTGGGTGAAAAGATGGGTGAACAGTATGTGCAAGAAGAGTTTCTGGGTGAAGAGTTTCTGGGTGAAAAGTATGTGCAAGAAAGTTTCTGGGTGAAGAGTCTCTGGGTGAAAAGTATATGAGTGAAAAGTATGTGCCAGAAGAGTTTCTGGGTGAAGAGTCTCTGGGTTAAAAGTATATGGGTGAAAAGTATGTGCAAGAAGAGTTTCTGGGTGAAGAGTCTCGGGGTGAAAAGAATATGGGTGAAAAGTATGTGCAAGAAGAGTTTCTGGGTAAAGAGTCGCTGGGTGAAGAGTCTGTGCAAGAAGAGTTTCTGGGTGAAGAGTCTGTGGGTGAAAAGTATGTACAAGAAGAGTTTCTGGATGAAGAGTCTCTGGATGAAAAGTATCGGGTGAAAAGTATATGGGTGAAAAGTATGTGCAAGAAGAGTTTCTGGGTGAAGAGTCTCTGGGTGGAAAGTATATGGATGAAACATATGTGCAAGAAGAGTTTCTGGGTGAAGAGTCTCGGGATGAAAAGTATATGGGTGAAAAATTAGTGCAAGAAGAGTTTCTGGGTGAAGAGTCTGTGGGTGACAATTATATTGGTGAAAAGTATGTGCAAGAAGAGTCTCTGGGTGAAGAGTCTATGGGTGAAAACTATATGGGTGAAAAGTATGTGCAAGAAGAGTCTCTGGTTGAACAGTATATGGGTGAAAAGTATGTGCAAGAAAGTTTCTGGGTGAAGGGTCTCTGGGTGAAAAGTATATGGGTGAAATGTCTGTGCAAGAAGAGTTTCTGGGTGAAGAGTCTCTGGGTGAAACGTATATGGGTGAAAAGTATGTGCAAGAAGAGTTTCTTGGTGAAGAGTCTCTGGGTGAAAAGTATATTGGTGAAAACTATATGGGTGAAAAGTATGTGCAAGAAGAGTCTCTGGTTGAACAGTATATGGGTGAAAAGTATGTGCAAGAAAGTTTCTGGGTGAAGGGTCTCTGGGTGAAAAGTATATGGGTGAAATGTCTGTGCAAGAAGAGTTTCTGGGTGAAGAGTCTCTGGGTGAAAAGTATATGGGTGAAAAGTATGTGCAAGAAGAGTTTCTGGGTGAAGAGTTCTGGTGAAAAGTATATTGGTGAAAAGTATGTGCAAGAAGAGTTTCTGGGTGAAGAGTCTCTGGGTGAAAAGTATATGGGTGAAAAGTATGTGCAAGAAGAGTTTCTGGGTGAAAAGTATGTGAAAGAAGAGTTTCTGGGTGAAAAGTATTGGGTGAACAGTATTGCAAGAAGAGTTTCTGGGTGAAGAGTCTCTGGGTGAAACGTATATTGGTGAAAAGTATGTGCAAGAAGAGCTTCTGGGTGAAGAGTCTCTGCGTGAAAAATCTGTGCAAAAAGAGTTTCTGGGTGAAGAGTCTCTGGGTGAAAAGTATATGGGTGAAGAGTATGTGCAAGAAGAGTTTCTTGGTGAAGAGTCTATGGGTGAAAATATGTGGGTGAAAAGTATGTGAAAGAAGAGTTTCTGGGTCAAAAGTATGTGCAAGAAGAGTTTCTGGGTGAAGAGTCTGGGTGAAAAGTATATGGGTGAACAGTATGTGCAAGAAGAGTTTGTGGGTGAAGAGTTTCTGGGTGAAAAGTATGTGCAAGAAAGTTTCTGAGTGAAGAGTCTCTGGGTGAAGAGTATATGAGTGAAAAGTATGTGCCAGAAGAGTTTCTGGGTGAAGAGTCTCTGGGTTAAAAGTATATGGGTGAAAATCTGAAAAGTATGTGCAAGAAGAGTTTCTTGGTGAAGAGTCTCGGGGTAAAAAGAATATGGGTGAAAAGTATGTGCAAGAAGAGTTTCTGGGTAAAGAGTCGCTGGATGAAGAGTCTGTGCAAGAAGAGTTTCTGGGTGAAGAGTCTCTGGGTGAAAACTATGTACAAGAAGAGTTTCTGGATGAAGAGTCTCTGGATGAAAAGTATCGGGTGAAAAGTATATGGGTGAAAAGTATGTGCAAGAAGAGTTTCTGGGTAAAGAGTCTGGGTGAAAAGTATATGGGTGAAAAATTAGTGCAAGAAGAGTTTCTGGGTGAAGAGTCTCTGGGTGAAAAGTATATTGGTGAAAAGTATGTGCAAGAAGAGTTTCTGGGTGAAGAGTCTCTGGGTGAAAAGTATATGGATGAAACATATGTGCAAGAAGATTTTCTGGGTGAAGAGTCTCGGGATGAAAAGTATATGGGTGAAAAGTACGTGCAAGAAGAGTTTCTGGGTGAAGAGTCTCTGGGTGAAAAGTATATTGGTGAACAGTATGTGCAAGAAGAGTTTCTGGGTGAAGAGTTTCTGGGTGAAAAGTATATGGGTGAAAAGTATGTGCAAGAAGAGTCTCTGGCTGAAAAGTATATGGGTGAAAAGTATGTGCAAGAAAGTTTCTGGGTGAAGAGTCTCTGGGTGAAAAGTATATGGGTGAAAAGTCTGTGCAAGAAGAGTTTCTGGGTGAAGAGTCTCTGGGTGAAAAGTATTTGGTTGGGTGAAAAGTGAAAAGATGTGAAAGAAGAGTTTCGGGTGAAAAGTATGTTTGAAAGGTCGGGTGAAAAGTATTTGCAAGAAGAGTTTTCTGGGTGAAGAGTCTGGTGAAAAGTAAATGGGTGAAAAATAGTGCAAGAAGAGTTTCTGGGTGAAAAGAAGAAGAGTTTCTGGGTGAAGAGTCTCTGGGTGAAAAGTATATGGGTGAAAAGTATGTGCAAGAAGAGTTTCTGGGTGAAGAGTCTCTGGGTGAAAAGTATATGGTTGAAAAGTCTGTGCAAGAAGAGTTTCTGGGTGAAGAGTTTCTGGGTGAAAAGTATATGGATGAAAAGTATGTGCAAGAAGAGTTTCTTGGTGAAGACTCTCTGGGTGAAAAGTATATTGTTGAAAAGTATGTGCAAGAAGAGTTTCTGGATGAAGAGTCTCTGGATGAAAAGTATCTGGGTGAAAAGTATATGGATGAAAAGTATGTGCAAGAAGAGTTTCTGGGTGAAGAGTCTCTGGGTGAAAAGTATATGGTTGAAAAGTATGTGCAAGAAGAGTCTCTGGGTGAAAAGTATATGGGTGAAAAATCTGTGCAAGAAGAGTTTCTGGATGAAGAGTCTCTGGATGAAAAGTATCTGGGTGAAAAGTAGATTGGTGAAAAGTATGTGAAAGAAGAGTTTCTGGGTGAAAAGTATGTGCAAGAAGAGTTTCTTGGTGAAGAGTCGAGTTTCTGGGTGAAGAGTTTCTGGGTGAAAAGTCTGTGCACGAAGAGTTTCTGGGTGAAGAGTCTATGGGTGAAAAGTATATTGGTGAAAAGTATGTGCAAGAAAAGTTTCTGGGTGAAGAGTCTCTGGGTGAAAAGTATGTGGGTGAAAAGTATTTGGAAGAAGAGTTTCCGGGTGAAGAGTTTGGGTGAAAAGTATAGTGGTGAAAAAGTAGGCAAGAAGAGTTTCTGAGTGAAGAGTTTTCTGGGTGAAAAGTATGTGGGTGAAATGTCTGTGCAAGAAGAGTTTCTGGGTGAAGAGTCTCTGGGTGAAAAGTATATGGGTGTGAAAAGTATGTGAAAGAAGAGTTTCTGGGTGAAAAGTATGTGCAAGAAGAGTTTCTGGGTGAAAAGTATTTGCAAGAAGAGTTTCTGGTTGAAGAGTCTGGGTGAAAAGTATATTGGTAAAAAGTATGTGCAAGAAGAGTTTCTGGGTTTCTGGGTGAAGAGTCTCTGGGTGAAAAGTATATGGGTGAAAAGTATGTGCAAGAAGAGTTTTTGGGTGAAGAGTCTCTAGACTCTAGATGAAAAGTATATGGGTGAAAAGCATGTGCAAGAAGAGTTTCTAGGTAAAGAGTCTCTGGGTGAAAGGGGTATTGTTGAAAAGTATGTGCAAGAAGAGTTTCTGGGTGAAGAATCTCTGGGTGAAATGTATATGGATGAAAAGTATGTGCAAGAAGAGTTTCTGGGTAAAGGGTCTCTGGGTGAAAAATATATGCAAGAAAAGTTTCTGGGTGAAGAGTTTCTGGGTGAAAAGTATATGGGTGTGAAAAGTATGTGAAAGAAGAGTTTCTGGGTGAAAAGTATGTTTGAAGAGTTTCTGGGTGAAAAGTATTTGTAAGAAGAGTTTCTGGGTGAAGAGTCTCGGGGTGAAAAGTATATGGGTGAAAAGTATGTGCAAGAAGAGTTTCTTGGTGAAGAGTCTATGGGTGAAAATATGTGGGTGAAAAGTATTTGTAAGAAGAGTTTCTGGGTGAAGAGTCTCTAGGTGAAAAGTATATTGGTGAAAAGTATGTGAAAGAAGAGTTTCTGGGTGAAAAGTATGTGCAAGAAGAGTTTCTGGGTGAACAGTCTGGGTGAAAAGTATATGGGTGAACAGTATGTGTAAGAAGAGTTTCTGGGTGAAGAGTTTCTGGGTGAAGAGTTTCTGGGTGAAAAGTATGTGCAAGAAGGGTTTCTGGGTGAAGAGTCTCTGGGTGAAAAGTATATGGCTGAAAAGTATGTGCAAGAAGAGTTTCTTGGTGAAGAGTCTATGGGTGAAAATATGTGGGTGAAAAGTATTTGTAAGAAGAGTTTCTCAGTGAAGAGTCTCTGGGTGAAAAGTATATGGGTGAAAATATGTGCAAGAAGAGTTTCTGGGTGAAAAGTCTGTGCAATAAGAGTTTCTGGGTGAAGAGTCTCTCTGTGAAAAGTATATGGGTGAAAAGTATGTGCAAGAAGGGCTTCTGGGTGAAGAGTCTCTGGGTGAGAAGTATTGGGGAACATAGGGATAGATGGGATGCTGGCTTTCGTTCCCCCCTTCTCAGGTATATATATATATTATACCATTGCCTTTCAGTTTCGCAGCAAGTCTGCAAATTTTACCTTGACCTTACCAGCTGAAGCAGTACCCCTGGTTCCAATCGGAGGTTTGAAAGGTCCGCTTGTCCGTTTTGGCCAATGAAGTTCATTTGTTGTGCAGCATCCAAGAAATAAAGAAGATATAAGAAGATTTAAGAAGGACATCTTGTCTTCATTCTTCCATAACTGATCATATTCTTTCTCCCGTATCAAATCGTTGAGTTTGTGCACTCGAGCAATGCATCAAGACAAGCGAGACCAGTCCAGGGAACCAGTTGCAGCTGATCAGTGCTGAAACGCAAGCCAGAGCGTGTGCTCGATGCCTGAGGAAGGCAAAGTCATCGGGAGATATCGAGAGATATCGAGAGATCGTAGTGAACGTATTCTTTTCATTTCTTTTCACATCACAAAAATGTCATTTGTTGCTCTATGTTGCTCTTGTGACCGGCCCTCCGTTTCTAATCCAATAGTCTGACCGCCGCGATGCAACGAGCGCCAATGTTTCAAGCGACCCGCGAGTCCGCGAGACTGTCCCTTCTCGGATTCCCAGGTCGCATTCCGGCCGCTTGACAACATCGCTGTGCATCTTGCTCAGTTGTCCAGTGCTGCTGGTATTGACGACTGCTGGAACAAAAGATGGCGAGAGTGTTATTCAAATATATCTGTGTATTTTGGAAGGGGACATGCTTCGGAACTGCCCATGAAAGCAGGGTAAAGATGGATAAAGATGGATAAAGACGCATGTCTAACGCATGTCTTTCATCTGTTTCTTTCAGATATATTTCGGCGAAAATGCCTGGAGGGTTTCTGAGGTGCTACATTTCTTGCCAGATCTTGCCAGATTCACCGCAGCCGCTGGGGATTCACTTCAGGATTCGCCGTCTTTTCACGCTGCTCTTCAAAAAACAAACATGGCGAGGACAGCAGATGTCCAAAGTCCAAGTGAGGCAACTGCATACTCCAAAGTTTGCAACTCATGGAACTCCTGGCCTCTGACGGCGAAAGTTTGTTTCCTCTTCACTCCTGCTCAGCTGTTGGCTTGCATCTACGCCTGCGCTTGGTATGAGGTTGGACCAATGATCAAAGGCTCCAAAGAAGATGAACTTGAGATCTTCAGCATGGCTCGAAATGCCTTGATTATTCCCATGGCTCTCATTAGCCTGGTGGCCATGTACCATGTAGTCGAGATGTGTTCCGCAAAACCTCGACACAGAGCCCTGATCATCTCAAGGGTTTCAATGTTCATCTTCATGGTGAAGATGACTTACTACACCTTGCTGTCACGAGGATATGGCTTGGCCTTTCAGAATCAACGCTGTTATGACCTGAGGCCAATCTATGGAACTCGCTATGCGGGCTGGACCTTCGCAGTCCCAACCATTGTCTTTATGAATTTGTATCCCTTGATGGATGAACATCGTTTGATTGATGTTCTGATTCGACTCTTCCCACAGTTGGCTGCTAGCCTCACATACTGCTGGGCAGCTGGCTTGGGATGCATCCTCTATGATCCATGGATGGGGTGGTTTCTCTGCATTCTGGCCTGCGTGGCGTATCTTGCAATCATTGTGGATGAGATTGCCTTTGTGGGGGAATACATCTCCACAACCTCACAGCCAGTACTGAAAGGTATCAGCATCGGCATCAAGGAAGTGATGTTTGTGCTGTACACGCTGGTGTATTTGCTCGGCAACTGGGGCTTCATGTCCTCCTATGCCGTCCAAGCCTTTTACAGCGCTACAGATATCGGTCACATCGCTGTGATGTCCTCGCTGCTCTTCCTGTACTGGAATGTTGATGATGTCAAGCGATCTGGCAAGCCAGACCACCAGGATTGATCGGCGACAAAGACTACATGGCAAACATTGGCAAATGTTGGCAACCAGCGGCAACCATTAATTAAGATGATTAAGTCTTTATATCCCCCCTGTTGGATCTGTTGGGGGGATCTCTGCACAGGATTCCAGAGAGCCTTTTGCATGCATAAGTTTGAAGTACAGTGGATGTGCACGCGCATTTGGGGGCGCTCGGCTATTTCACAAGCTGAGGAATTCCCAAATTCACGTTTCAAATTATGAAGTACAGGCCAGGTCCGGGAAATTTTGCCCAGCACAATCTGAGCGAGCTTGAAACCTGTTCCAATCCGCACCCTCGCGGAAGTTAAGCAACAAAATAAGAGCAACAGTGTAAAAGGTGAGGCGTGGGTCCAGTGAAGATCTGCTTGGCAAGGACAAAATTCTGCAAGTTAGTCGATAGAAGGTTATAGACTTACAGACTATTTACATTCTTCAAAAGACTCCGGGGCTGAGCGAAATCCGCTGCATCGGTGTTTCGATAGTTGCTGTTGCTGGTGGTCGGCTGGGTCCGTTTCATAAATGCACAGAGTTGTGGCATGTTGTGGCTCCAGCAAACTGACAAGCCACGAGCCAACCTGACAAACAGATCAAACAGATCAAACAGATCAAACAGATCAAACAGGAAGCATCGTTTTGATCTCTCTGCGATTTTTCGATCAGCCAAAACAGCCTGAGCTCACCTCAGTTCCAATCTGTTTCAAATTTTCTCTGCAGAAATTCTGTTGGATTTGAGATCTGAGGTATTCTGAGGTACTGTATCAGAGACACTGCTTTCGCCAAGTAAATTCATCCAGTGATCCGTCGATGGACAACGAAGACCGTTGTAATGGTGTGTTTCTGAGAGTCACATTCATGATATATGTACATATCGCTATACATACATCATTTGTCTTCAGATGTCTTCAAGTCATCTGTGTTTGTCTTGACTTAAGCAGAAATATCAGAAAGGCTGCTGTTCTGTTCACGGCAAACAGAGAGCTGTAGACGAGATGGCTTGTTGCATAGACCCTGTACTAGAACGAGAGAGAAGTGAAGACAGCAACAGTACGCCATACAGCACAGCAGCACACACCTCTCAATTGGACGATTCTGTGATCAGGTGGATTTATCGAACAAGTCCATCTCTCTCACTGAGGCCCTTGCATGCAACGTTGTTCATGACCATCATGGCCATCATGACCATCATGACCATTCCCCTCCAATCTCCCAGAATCAGAACATGAGTTGGGAAGCTGCCAGGGTGACTGCATTTGCCAGGCTCAGGTTGAAGAGTTTCAGGAGGCCTTTGGTCTGTTTGACAAGGCCCAGTGCCATGGAGTCCGGAAGGTCCCGAAATGTCCCAAAGTGCCATGCTTTCAGCAGTGATGTCGACTTGACGACTTGTCATGATATGTCATGATCGCAGTCCTGACATGCCCTGACTTGGGTTACATAAGTTTTTTTTTCACATCTTGCGTTGAGCAAAGAAGATCTTGCCATCAGCCATATATTAGCCATATATTGGCCATATATTAGCCATATATTAGCCATATATTAGCCATATATTAGCCATATATTAGCCATATATTGGCCATATATTAGCCATATATTAGCCATATATTAGCCATATATTGGCCATATATTAGCCATATATTAGCCATATATTAGCCATATATTAGCCATATATTAGCCATATATTAGCCATATATTGGCCATATATTAGCCATATATTAGCCATATATTAGCCATATGAGATCATATGAGCCAGTTGCTGAATCTTTGCATTGGGGTTGAGGATGGCAATGGCTGCATCAGCGTGGACGAACTTGGTGTCGTCTTGAAAGCATTGGGAAGAACCCCGCTACTTGGTTGGTCACCACATGGCGGGATCGGTGGGGCAATGATATGCATGGGCTAAAAGAAGAACAAGAATAGACACAATGAAGAAGTCCTTGGCCCCATAGTGTGACAATACTATTCTAATAGATTCTAATAATATACCTGACAGTATATACCTAATAGTATATACCTAATAGTATATACTAAGATTTTTCAACTTCGGCTCAGTCGAGTTCAGCCTGTTTCGAGACCGAAGCGCTTCAGGACGCAGGATGAGTTGAAAGCCATGATCGGTGAAGCCGATGAGGTTCGTGGAATGGGCCTGGCCCGGAACATGTGAAACACAGAAACCGTGACAGAAACTCAGAAAAAAGTTCAGGGCAGTAGATGCAAGTAGATGCAAGTAGGCTGTTAAACAAGGTTGTTAGGCTGTGTTTTCATCACAGTTTTCATCTGTTTTAAATTCAAAATGTGTCAAAGTCAGAGCTTTGCAACTTTGTACCAGGATGGCAGCGGACAAATTGAATTCCCTGAGCTTGTCACTGAGACACGGCCAGTTGAAAGGTGTCTCCAAACCGTGTAAGTCTTACATGAATGTATATAATGTGTTGCAGTTTTACATATTTGTGTTACATTTCTGAGTGTTACATCGATGTTCCTGTGCGGCAAGCGCGTTTATGTCTTCGTAAAAAACAAACAAGTCCCAGGTGGTTTTCTGACGGATTTGGTTTCAGACTCGCAAATTTTTCCTGAGGTTCTTGAAGTTGATGGCAGCGAAACTGCATGACATGGATTCCGTGGAGGAAATCACAGCTACTATCAATCAGCAAAATCAGCAGAATCAGTACCTTGGTCAGATGTTTTTCAGATGTTTTGAAGCAAATGATACCAAGTCCACTGAAACTCCTGTGCCAGGAGTTGCAAGAAGCCTTCTCTGTCTTCGATCGCGACAAGAGTTTGGATCTGACAGATTTGGGATGGTCGGATGTAGCACGTGAACAACACATAAAATAAATTTAGGTATTTTCAATTTGCAAGCATGACAATGTCATTCAATATCAGTCTTTACTTAACGTTGCTGAATTATGAAGAATATATTAATATATACACATGACAATGTCATTCAATATCAGTCTTTCATTAACGTTGCTTAATTATGAAGAATACATGAATATATACACATGACAATGTCATTCAATATCAGTCTTTAATTAACGTTGCTTAATTATGAAGAATATATTAATATATACACATGACAATGTCATTCAATATCAGTCTTTCATTAACGTTGCTTAATTATGAAGAATATATTAATATATACACATGACAATGTCATTCAATATCAGTCTTTAATTAACGTTGCTTAATTATGAAGAATACATTAATATATACACATGACAATGTCATTCAATATCAGTCTTTCATTTTGCTTAATTAACGTTGCTTAATTATGAAGAATACATTAATATATATACACATGACAATGTCATTCAATATCATTCTTTAATTAACGTTGCTTAATTATGAAGAATACATTAATATATACACATGACAATGTCATTCAATGTCAGTCTTTAATTAACGTTGCTTAATTATGAAGAATACATTAATATATACATATGACAATGTCATTCAATATCAGTCTTTCATTAACGTTGCTTAATTATGAAGAATACATTAATATATATACACATGACAATGTCATTCAATATCAGTCTTTCATTAACGTTGCTTAATTATGAAGAATACATGAATATATACACATGACATTGTCATTCAATATCAGTCTTTAATTAACGTTGCTTAATTATGAAGAATACATTAATATATACACATGACAATGTCATTCAATATCAGTCTTTCATTAACCTTGCTTAATTATGAAGAATACATTAATATATACACATGACAATGTCATTCAATATCATTCTTTAATTAACGTTGCTTAATGATGAAGAATCATTAATATATGCACATGACAATGTCATTCAATATCAGTCTTTAATTAACGTTGCTTAATTATGAAGAATCATTAATATATGCACATGACAATGTCATTCAATATCAGTCTTCAATTACCGTTGCTTAATGATGAAGAATCATTAATATATGCACATGACAATGTCATTCAATATCAGTCTTTAATTAACGTTGCTTAATTATGAAGAATACATTATAATATATATATGTATTATATATATATATATAGACATATACACACATCAATGACGTATCATATGTTATGTCATGGATCTTGTTTGCATATCGACATCGTGACATCGAGGTGGGCAAGTGACGGCCAGCGAGCTGAAGCACGTGATGAACAGCTTGGGAGAGAAGGTCACCAATGAAGAAGTCGAGCAGATGATTGCCGAGGCACAGGCAATGATCATTGAAGAAACATGAACTGGAATCTTAATGATCTATATGGAATATTTTCTGGAATCTGTTGATAATATATTTAGATGGAATGTCTTTGTAAATCATAGAATTGGATGATGGGAAAATTTTAACCGGAAAGCCCCAACAATTTGATGGTAAAAACCCATGGGTTTCCGGTTAAATTTTTCCCTTAAACCAATCCAGTGACATGAAGCAAACTTGAAAAACAAATGAAAACTTGAAGGAAACTTGGACTTGGTCAGGGTGTGATAGGTAAGCCAGGTCACGTGAATGGTGGAATCTTCGCACACTTAATGTTTGGAGAGCCAAAAAAAACAACAGAGAACGTCTTGAAATTCAGAAATGAAAGGTCCAGTTTTGTAAAATTTTACATTTCTCACAGAAAATGTTGACGCTGTGCAGAAGGGGACACAGCTTTCACAAAGTCAGATCTAAGCATCGTGGTCCTTGATGTTGTGCGCAGGCTGACATTGATGGTGATGGAGAGTTGAGTGTAGATGATTTCATTCAGTCTACATCTCAACCTGACTCAACCTGTCAGTTGTGCAATTCTAGAAACGGACCAAAAAAACAATCCTATGTCACACGAACATTCTTCAAAGACATTATGACATTCTTTGCTTTTCTTATCGTTTTTCTTATCATTTCTTCTGTTTGACAGATTTTGACAGTGATCTGTCGAGGTTTGTTCAGATGAAAAGCTTGAACTCAAGGCCGCCTGGAGCTGTGAAGAATGAAGATATCAGAGACTAAGGTGAAGTCCTTTTCGGGTCGTACGTCCTGAACAACAAAGACATAAACACCTTTAAAGAACCAAACAGTTAGGAGAAGTTGGTAGTATTATTAGATATTACTGTATTAGTTCTATCGCAATGTCAAGAAGGTCAAGGAAAATGCCGACATGGAAAGTTTATGGAAAGCCTTATGGACCCGCATGTTCTGCATGTCCGACATTTAATCCACTATTCTCTGCGGTTAGTAGGAAACAAACTACTCGTCTAGAAGAGGGCTTGAGGCAAGTTTAGACTTGCGACATCAGTTACATACTAAACTGATATACTGCAGTTGAGTCTGGAATTACTTGAAAAAAACATCTTAAAACTTCGTTTGCGTCAGTTGGGCAACCACCTGTCAGCGAAGGCAATGAGGATCCATTTCCTGCTCAAGGCTGATTTGACAAGGTCAAAAGGGCGCTGTGCTCTGCAGAGAATCCTTTTCATCTGGTTGGTGGTTTGGAACATGGCTTTTATGACTTTCCATTCAGTTTGGGAATAATCATCATCCCAACTGACGAACTCATATGTTTCAGCGGGTGGGTTGAAACCACCAACGAGTCATGATTTTGCAGTACGTGTCCAGAACTTGTTCGTTTCCGGACATTTGCCTCATATTTGCTCCAATGCATCGACTGACATCAGAGAATGGATTTCAAGAAAACGAATGGACGAATGGACACAATACACTGCATCGAAAACTATCTACTTTCGATTACTTTCGTATCTTTGTTTCTGCTTCAAATTAGAAGCTGGTCACATTGACACGGCTATGTACGTGTAATCCTTTCACCCTGTTCCTAAATACACCCCCTCCCCCAATAAATCCAGCAGCCTGTTGTTTTAAATGAGGGGTTCTTTGCATTAGACAAGAGTTCCCAAGAAACCCGTATTAATAGAAAGGAAGTACTTTGAAGCTTTCAAAATCAATCAAAATCCTTTTAGAAACTATTGAAGGAAGTGCCCAAAATTAGACTTCGAAGGTTCTCCAAGTAATGAAATGACAACCCTGATTAAAAGCGGTTTGGTTGCTTTCTAAATGTTCAAGATCCTTTTTTGGTCTATTCAAAAAGTGCGTAACATTGGATGTCAATGGCTCTCCTTATAATTTATAATGAAAAAATAATGTAATCAAAATATATATTTGTTTAAACAATAACTAATCGCCGCTTTCAAAATCTATATGTCTAAACAGTTTGCTGCAGAATTCAAATTTTGAAGGTTCTCCCAAAATCAATTCCAAAAACTCTCATTCCAAAAAAAACGCAAAAAACGATGTTGCAGATAAGCTTCACTGATCCACCCCATAGATGACGCTTCAACCCTGATGATGGCAACACGGATCTCTAAGCCGAGGTAAGTTTTTCAAATTGAAAAGATGGAAATGCAAAAAATACATAAAAATACATCTTGATTAAATTTGATTAATTGATTTGGGGGAGTCTAGTCATAGGAACGGATTAAGCAGTCTGTTTTCATTTCCTTAGCCACATGGAGTGCGGTGATGGCTACACTCATTTTACCTGAGAGAAACTTCAGCTTGTATGTTGTGAGCAAACTGCCATGGGTTCATGTCAGGTCACCCAAAGTTTGGTTTGTGCAATTCCATTTCTTCCTCTTACTTTTCAGTTCGCCGTTTCGCAGAAAACTTGAAAAAACATTGCTAGACCTGGGCTCCCACGGGGCGGAGTAGATAGCTCCGGGACGGCTACCTTGAGCTTTGTTGCCAGGGCTCTGGCCAAAGTGAGGGTTGCATGAACCAAAACAAGTCAACAGCCGTGAATTCAACACCGATTCGGCATCCGAAAACCGCACAGAGAAAGAAGAACCAAAGATTTTTGGGATCAAAGGTTGCTATATTATGATTCCCAAGAACCAAAGGTTTGTTGAACCAAAAATTCTCAGTGAAGAGATACAGAATCTGTTTCCGAACAATTCAGCCGAATGTATCGAATGTCGCCTTGTCGACTTGCCATGATTTCTGCCCATGGCGCTGGCCTTAGGGAACGTGATCAGCTGAAAAATTGAAACCACACGCAGCATGGCACCGCCAATTCAAAATTGAAACATCAATTGGACATACTTGGACAAAGGAAGTTTTGTGTTCATGCATTTTACATGGTGTTATAAGGTTTTAGCATCGGCAGAAAGAATACAGCAGATTCGACGGGGCCACCTTTTCCTGCGGCGCCCAGGATGAAAAGAGAGTGCGAGAAGCCGTTGCAAACCGCAAGAAATACAGGCGAAGCGTGACGAAGCACAACTGCTTTGCTGTGGAGCAAAGCAACGGAATGCAAGAGATACAAAGTGTTCAATCTATTTCAATGTACATCAATCCATTCAACATTTCATTGTTTTAATTTTGGCCAAGTGTTGAATCTTTCATGGCAATTCGAATCTATAGTATATTATAGTGTATGATTTCAATTAGCCGCAATGTAGCCATTCCATGCCATTCCTTCTCGATTCTTTTCCTTCAGGATGCTGTCTGGTTGGTGGTTTGGAACATGGCTGGATTATTTTTCCATATTGGCTTCATGGAAAATCATCCCAACTGACTTTCACTCACTCCATCATTTTTCAGAGGGGTTGGTGGCTTCACAAAACACCAACCAGCTGTAGAAAATTGACCCAGCAGACCTACTGTGGATGAAAGAAATCCTACACCAGTTGATAGGTGGTTTATCCCATTATTTATACGGTTTCAACCATCCAAGGTGGTGCAGGATTTCTTCCATCAACAGTATCAGGGATGCGAACTCGCGCTACAACTTCTGGATCGCCGGCACCGCTGCCGTTGTCCTGGCTGCCTGTGCTGCTGTTCTCTTTGGTGAAGACACAGGCAGGAAGCCACCGAAGCCACGGAAGCCACGGAAGCCACGAAAAAAATCCGCTCTCCTCCTGGAAACATGCCAGAAATGCTGGAAATCTATGGGAAATCAATGGGAATCATCCTAAAAACCAACATTTATGTTTGGGAAATCAATGGAAATCAATGGGAAATCAATGGAAATCAGTCGAAATCAATAGGAAATCTGTGTTTGTCATGTTTGGGCCTTGTTTGGCTTGGTTTGAAAACGAAACTTGTCACGAACCTCTTTGGTTCCACGGGCTGCCGGATGTCGCCTGCTTCAACATCCAATCCTGGCAGATGCATGTAATACTGAAGTTACTGAAACATGAACTTTGCCTTTAAGTTGTTTTTCCTGTGCTTTTTCCTGTGTTTCCTTTGATTCTGTTGCCATCTGTTGTTCACGTTAAGATCTGTTCCAAGGCGTGAGAAAGTGAGAAAGTACAAATTGAATCAAAATGGTACTCTTTCCAGATCCCCATCAGTATCATCATCATCATCATCATCACCACCACCATTGTCACCTCCACTCACTAACAGAAAGCTGGGGAACTTTGTGACGCTTGTTGCTTTGCTATGCTTTGCTCAGGCCCTCTTGAGATCTTGGCCCCTTGCTCAAGCCACCGCCAAGCACAAGCACTTCTGCGATGTGCCATGCGTTTCTGTATTGTCTGTGACATTTTGTGACAAGGTCAATGACCCAACCCTCATAACACACGTGAACCGGAATGCTGGGAGCCCAGACCATTGGATTTGTAGTCTGCAGAACCAGAGATGGTAGACCTGGTGGAGTGTGCCACAAGGCCAAAGGCTGGCAAGCCGGTGAGGTGGCTTTTTTCAAGGCCCAGTTTGCCGGGTAGATTCCAAAAAGGGGTGAAAAAAGTCGGTGCAGTTTGCAGGCACACATACAAAGTTTCTTGCTTGAATCATTATTTTCATGAAGGGAAGGAACGGGACCTGGGATTCAATATGATTCAATTGTCTTACAATTTTGACAATACCGTGAAAGGTTTGAAGGCAGGACCTTGTTTTCTGTTTGAAATCTTGCCCAGTGACAAATTTTCAAGCTCCTCAAAAACCGCTCTGCGACTTTGTCTTTGACTCGTAGGGCTGGACAATCGGTGATGTGCAGAAACTTGGTGGAGTAAAGGTTTCAAACCAAGCAGGCCCGGAAGCCGATGATATGAGATGATGTGGCTATAGCGGCTGTGATATTAGTTTTCCTTGAAACCAACTCACACGGAAAATGTGCATGTTTTTTTGCCAGAATCCAAGGAGGGCCAGAGAAGACTCGCAGAAATCGAGAGTCCAAGAGAAGGATATGCACATGCTGTATGATATTATATTATATTATATGTTATTATATTATATTATACTATATTATATTATATTATTATACATACATCATAATATCTATTCGGGCATTTCTGGGGGAACAAATTCACACTCAGAAACTAATCGCTATTGAGGAACTTGTCTTCAGGAAAGAACGTGCTTGGACTCTGAATCTATAAAGTGATCGAATTCAGGAACTCGTGGACCGACCAGATTGCCACTTATCCAAAGCGGCCTCAGCGTGGTTTTTATACATATTTTTACCATTTTTTACCTTTGTCTCCTGGTGAGTTCACCTCATTCGACGTCCTTTTGCTTTGATCAGTTTGTTCAAAAGTTGATCTGAATAGTCTGCATCTAGTCCTTTTGATTTGTAAATCCTGCAGATTTCCGCAGATGTTCTTCCGCGTTGCAAGGCAGCTTGACGGAGTGCACCCTGCCAGATGTGACTCCTCCTCGCCACTTTGACGCTCGCGAGAGGTATCCGCTCACTGAATATCAAACACAGATATCAAATATGATATCACATAGATATCAAATTTGATATCACAGAGATATCATAGAGCTATAGCTACAACATGTTTCAATCTGTTTCAATGCTTCTTCAGTTGCAGCTTAAGCATTTTAAGCATCAAGTCGATTCGCCATTCCCTGGCCTCGTGGCCCTGCCAGTGGCTTCCAGTGGTTTTCAGGTGGCCTCAATGTTTCTCAAGTGTCTATGACATGGGAAACTGCTCCACACTTAGTCCGGCTGAAAAAGCTGGATTTCAACCTGGAGGGACTGAAATTTGTCTCGCTGCGATGTTTGTTTTCAGAAGCATTGATAATGAGAGGCACCAGAGGAAGTTTTGAAGATATGTTGAAGTGACTGGAAAAGTCGAAGTTGGAGTTATCATGTTCTGTTGGCGGATGGTACACTCAACACTGGTTCGAAATTTCTTCCCCAGTATTCCATAGTAATTTCATAGCACATTTTCATCATTTTTCAGCCATTTTTCAGCCATTTTTCCGCCATTTCCATATCAAAGTCGGGTAGAAAGTGGTGGTTTCCAGGTCCGTGGCGTTTGGATCACAGCTCCCCACAGCGGGGCCAAAAAACGCGACGGAACGCAGGAAGTCCATGTGGCCAAAAAATCGCCGCCAGCATGGCCATGGCCCATCATCGGTGCCCAAGCTTCGATCAGATTCAAAGTTTGCATGTTACTGTAAAACCTATGTATATATATATAATTATATATATATATATACATTATATATATGTGTGTATATATGATACATGTCACTGTATATGTCTATTATATATGTGTGTGTGTTATTATATATAATTTAACACACACATATATATATATACAAATATATTACCACAATACATACTAATACATACAAGATATTCAGTGAAATATGACACATCTCACAGGACATATCACGCTAGTGTACAAGTTATGCTGCAAGCCATTTGCATCAGCCATTTACAAATGTTGTTCCTGAAGAAGTTAACGAGATTGTGTGGCAGTGTGGGTGTAGTATGGTGTAGTTACATTGTGTCGTTTCAGCAAAAGGTATGAAGAACTTCCGACTTGTGAACTATGTCCTGGTTTCGAGAGCGAATCCAGCGAGGGGACCTGCCCCATGGTGTTTGACGATATTTTACTATGTTTTTTTTTGCTTACTTTTCATTTGATTCCAACTTGATTCCCTCTGTTCTGCCTCCAGTAACTGAGTGAAACTGGAGGCAGTGATGAAGAATTCGCAAATTTGAAGCCAGAGTGGCTTCCGAGATGGCTCTACACTTCGACTTGGGGCGTTCCTTGCGAGGTGAAGCAGATGATGAAACAGAAAATCGAAAGACCAAACAAGAGTTTGGGCGACTATGGAAGCCATCTGACCATGTTCGATGTTTCTGGTCCAGCTGTGAGGTTGTTGTGGATAGCAACGGTGATACAATGGCCTTTTATGATCATGTTTCCCTTCATTGCATTTCAATTCACAGACTGCAATGGACTTGGATTGCCTGCTTATCACATGTGGTTGTGGAGTCTGGTTTTTCCTATCTTTGCCGCCATGATGATCATTGAGTGGAGATGCTTCTTGGCCTTCAGTGAGCCATGATCTTGCCCCGAGAGTTAGGAGAACTGAGAGAACTGAGATGTACAGAGATACTCACAAAGTCTCATATACTTGTGTTTTCCATTTTTTCCAGCTACGTTGCTAGAGTTTTTCCTTTGTTGTTCAACGTTGTTCATAAATTTGCAGAAATATCACTGAACTTTTTCCCTTGGGTTTTCGTATTGCGCCGATCCAGACATTTGAGGCTTCACATATACAATAACACCGGTAGTACAGTGGCTGGGGAGGATGGAGACTCCCCCCTGTTGCTCGGGCTTTTGTTGGTGGATGGCATCGCAAATCTGCCTGAGTGCTATTTCCACTGGTGACGTGGTCACCCAGGCTCTGTTGCTTTCATCTACCTGTCGTTGGTTCACTTGTCCAGGCGCGACGAAGCTGACATAACCTGACAACCTTGTCCTCACATTGACCTATTTATAGATGCCTTTTTCGTGATGACAGGTGACATAACCGTGGCAACCTTCACGGGATTTTTTTCGTTGTTTGTTTCCCCAAACAGTGTGGCCACACTTGGGGTTAACGGTAGCTGTTAAGGCCGGGTGTTCATTCGAGGTGGTCTCATACCTGCGCGGCATTTTTGATAACCCTTACAGCACAAACATGCCCTCGTGAGATGTCCATGTGCATTTCGATTGCGCAGGCTAGCGCAACTCTCTCGAGACTTTGCGCATCTCGGATCGCTCTGATTGCAGCGCCGTGCGAATTGTGAGATCGCTCGCGCAACCTTATCGTCATGTTGCGCGCACCGGATCGCTCTTGTTGTGGCGCCATGCAATTTGTGAGATCGCGCGCGCAATCTTCTCGGCACTTTGGCCATGTCAGATCGCCCTCGTTGTTGTGCGGTGCTATGCGGTGCTCATGTGGGACTATCAAGGAGATCTTGTACAGAGATCTTGCCAAGAGGTCTCTTGCATAGCTCTTGCCAAGAGAGCTCTTATGGAGAGCTTCTCAAGAGATCTCATAAAGAGATCTTGCCAAGAGACCTCTTATAGAGATCTTTTACAGAGATCTTGCCAGGAGACCTCTCATAGAGTTCTTGTACAGAGACATTGCAGTAGAGGTCTGTTGCAGGCACCTTGCCAAAAGGTCTCTTACATAGATCTTGCCCAAGAGCACTTTTAGAGAGCTTGCACAGAGATCTTTTCAAGAGATCTTGCCAAGAGACCTCTTGTCGAGATCTTGTGCAGAGATCTTGCCAGGAGAGCTCTGTTAAAGATCCTGTACGGAGACTTGGTGAGGAGAACAGAGATCTTGCTCAGAGATCTCTTACAGAAATCTTCTGTGGAAACCTCTTATAGACACCTTGTACAGATAGCCTTGCGACACCTTGTGCAGATAGCCTTGCAAAGGGATCTTGCACAGTAGCTTCTACAGAGAACCTGTCAAGGAGATTTTGCGCACGATCTTCTGCAGAGATCTTCACAAGGAAACTTGCAGAATCTAACCTGGTATCTCTTCATGTTCCTTGCAACACTTTTTGGGGTCTCTTTCCGGGATAGGAAGATGCTTTTTTAGATATTGCCCTCTCTTATTCATCATCACTGAATTGCAGGGGTCCCACGTTGCTAAATTGTTTTCTTGTTGCCACAGTTTGGTCTTCAACTTTGAACATAATTGACTTGCAGGAAACATTTTCTTAACAGGGAACCGCTCTTTTGCAACTCTAAATTTGTGTTTTGCATCTGAACGTGCATTAGCTGTAGCATCTACATCTTTAGAAGTCAATGTCTAGATGCCTTTGGAAGTCATACCTTTTGTGGGTGTTGGGCATGCCGATTGAGGATGGAGCAATGTTGCAACAGCCTGGGTGGACATTTGGAATAATTCGTTGTTCTCATGGGTGACAGCTGGGAAGAACCTGCAGACGATTCTGATCGTGACCTGGGTCGCTTGACGATGCTGAATCGTGCTGAAACTGTTGAAACTGTTGAAACTGTTGAAACGTGTTCACTGCAACCCTGACGTTTGCCCGCGCCGGAATTGTGGAAGGGCTGTGAAGTTTGGAAATGCTATGCCGGTGGACTTTCGACATGTAGATTAGATGTATAAATATATACATACCTGTATTTATGTATAGCTACTTGTATTTGCAAATAAATTTGTAAGTACATGTTTATTTGTGTTTTGTTTATTTCTTTTGTTTATTTATCATGTACACATACATGTAGGTGTCATAAGAGAGAGAGAGAGAGAGAGAGAGAGAGAGACGTATAATCCCCCTTGGAATTTCCTCTACAGAATTGAGAACGTTGGGGCCAGGAAAATGGTGCATTTTAACCCCCTCACTTAATAAGGGGTACCTACCCAACGTCAACGCTTACAATTTTATAGAGGACCTTGGGGCCTCAATTCTATAGAGAATTCATGCTGAATACAGCACTGAGGACTAGTCTTAGGGACTACGATTCTATAGTGGGATATGTTTTTTTGGATGTATGTTATGTTCTTCAATTCTATAGAGAAGAATTGGCAGAACCAATTTCCCACAACAATTCTTTGATCATCCTTGATCATCCTTGATCATCCTTGATCATCCTTGTATATTTTGGATTATTTTGGAATCATTTGGAATCATTTGGAAACTTGATATCAGGGTTTCATCAGTTGTCATCAGTTGATCTGTGATGCTGCTTTGCTACCTCGTGCGCTTTTCAGGTGGACATAAGGCAGGGGTTGCCTGAGTCCCTTCAACAAGAAACATCAATAAAACATAATAAACAAAGAATGGCCAGGATTATTCTAGATTGATCAATATTGATCATAAGTGAGCTAAACGTGAAGCTAGATTTAGCCAGGTTGATGCCAAAATTGACTCTATAGAGATTGTCAACTTGAAAATACCTTGGGGTCTCTGATTCTATAGATGCATTTTCGGAAAGGGGGGTCATGTCCTCCCGATTTATCACAATAAAATTGTCAACACCAACCCTTTCACTTAATACAAAGGGGGATGACGTATATATATATATATTTATATTATTAACCAAGTCAACATATTTGTCAGAGGGGGCGGTGAATTTTGGATCCCTTATGAAGATATGTTGATGTTGTTACCCTATTCAACATACTTGTAAGAGGGGGTGGCGGTTTTCGGGTCCCTTTTGTAGATAGGTTGATGCTTTTGCTCCATACAGCATGTTTGTCAGAGGGGGACGTGGATTTTTGATCCCTCTTGAAGACAAGTTGAGGTTATGATGATGATGGTGATGATGATGGTGATGACGATGCTGATGCTGCTGATGCTGATGATGATGATGATGATGGTGATGATGATGGTGATGACGATGCTGAAATGATGGTGATGATGACGGTGGTGATGCTGATGGTGATGATGATGTGGATGCTGATGCTGATCATGATGGTGATGGTGATGATGATGGTGGTGATGATGGTGATGATGATGGTGATGATGATGTGGATGCTGATGCTGATCATGATGGTGATGGTGATGATGATGATGATGATGGTGATGATGAGGGTGATGATGACGATGCTGATGCCGATGGTGATGATGATGGTGGTGACCATGATGGTGATGATGGTGGTGCTGATGATGATGATGGTGGTGGTGATGATGATGATGGTGATGATGATGATGATGATGTGGATGCTGATGTTGATGGTGATGACGATGCTGATGCTGATGCTGCTGCTGCTGATGATGATGATGATGATGATGATGGTGATGGTGGTGGTGGTGGTGACCATGATGATGACGATGATGACGATGCTGATGATGATGATGATGATGATGAGGGGCAAACCCAGATCTTCATTATCCGTTGTAGATACGGTCAAGCTGTGCAAGACAGGCGAAGCCTAGGTGAAGCAGTCTGATTCTTTCTAACTGCTACGAAATGAGTGGTGCATTGCGCTAGGGTCACTAGGCCACCAAAAGGTTGCGCTGTTGCTTTTGCACAGTCTTATACCATTGGCTTTTTTGTTGGCCTTTGTTATCCTGGTTTGTTTCTCTGCTTAGATTCCTTGGGTCAACTCCTCCCAGATTCGCTTGGCATGTGGCCAAATACTTGCCCTGATTTCTTGTTTCATTAAAACATATAGAGACATGTGTTTGTGCATCCATTAGCCATGGGTTTGTTGTCCGCCGCCACTCAGGGTCTTGCCATCATGCAGCTCCCTCTATTCGTTTTAGCTGCTTTGCCAGTTCGATGGTTTGTGGGGCAAAACCTCGACTTCGGTCTTTGTACTTTGGCCTTGCTCTAGTACTTTAGATTGGATAGGACACGACAGGACATAGGCTGACTGCTGGGAATGCGGAATCAGAAATCCTTGTAATTATCTTCAGGTGTTCAAGCATGTTTGAAGGCATGCTGAACACTTGTACACATGCAAGGACTGCAAAATGACACTACAAATCAATTCCAACCTGTCTGGGCTCCCTGGTTTTCTTGCCGTTCTGTGCAACATGGGGGTGACACGATGAATTGATCTGTGCCTCCTAATCTTCCTTCAGGTAGTGAGAAAGATGGCTACCATGTCTCCTCCTGCTGGCCATCCTTGGACACTGCTACTGACTCCGAGGCTTCACTCTTGGGAGACTGGAAATGACAGGACCCAGGAGTAGAAATCATTGAGGTTTATGGAGCTTGACACAGTTCAGCAATGTTCAGCATAAATTTGAAATAAGGTAAAATAATGGTAGCCGATCAAAGGCTGTAAATCTTCCAAGCTGATCGCTCAGCAGACCCTTGGTACAGACTTCTTCCAAGAATTGACTGCATTGGTTGCATGCCATAGACCATGCAAGAGCGTAGCAAGCACCAATACACATCTTGCATGTACTCAAGTAGTGCGACTGGCCCAGACAATTAAATCCAAGATGTCGCTGCGCTTTGCCCGCAGAAGATGTCATTGTGCTTTTTAGGCTCAACTGACTCAAATGGCTTGAATTTAGGTTGCACAGTGAAGGTGTCATGGCCTCAGCTGATGGCGGTCCCATGACTGCACCGGAGCCATCAGTGGCCGGAAGTCTCCGCTGCGATCCAGCAGCTCCATCAACTTTTCCAGATCGCACGCAGGATGTGCGAGTCTTGCGACGCCTAGGGCCTTACACAATGGTTTCCAGAACGCTTAGGTGGAGAATGCAGAGACACACTGACACGGAGGCTTTGCACCAGCAGCTGGCAGTCAGCCAGGCACAAGAGACGGAGGAGGAGGCAGAGCAGACGGAAGACCAGCTGGTGAAGACGCTGCGCAACAGCCTAGAGCCGACAAAGGCGCTTCTCTTGAAAGAGAAAGACCGTAGTTGTCAACTGGGTCAGAGACTTCTGGAGAAGGCCGACAGGACGCAACAACTCTACGAAGGTCTCTTAGAATATATGGACTTCAGGATCAAGGCCATGGAGATGACAGCCGCTGCGGAGGTTCAAAAGCTCCGAGCACAATTGGAAGTAGCTACCCTCCAGGCGAGGTTGCAGGAGCAGATGCCAGCAGGTGATCGAGGGAGCTGACACCAAGAGGCTGCCACGCCTGCACCTGGACGTGACATCGACATGGTGTGTTGCAGGTGCTCCACGTGGTGCTGCTTCTGGCTCCAGAGCTGAGGTGCCCGTTTTTGAGCACAGGGTTCAGGCATCAGGCGTCTGCCACCCAATCTGACAAAACCTGTTCCACACGTTTTCTGCCTGGTGCAGAAGATCTGGGTCTTCATGTCTACTCAATGCTCGTGGAGCAGGTGTTCAACAGCCAAGGAAATGCAGACTGGCACAGCTGCAGTCGGGCCGTGCCCCCGTATCTACAGCGACTGCAAGAACAGAGGCTCGGAGGAGACGAAGCAAGCGGCTGTAGGCCCTTCATGGTGGAGTGGGGCGAGCTTGTGGAACCTATCTGCAAGGACCTTCATCGAGGGAACCAGCGCCTGAAAAGTTTAGGCAATGATCGTGATAGAATAGAACAGCTGAAGAAAGGCCTCGCTGAGGCGAGGCCCGGACCGAAGATGCAAATTCTTTGCGCGCAACTTTCTCCACATAATATTCCAGAAGGTCTCTGACTATCATCCAATACAACTTCGCTTGGTCCTTGTTGGGCGAGAAGCCGTACCTGACGGCCATCCCGAACTCGTGGAGCATGTGCAGAAGCAGAGGAGAAGATGGTCAAGGTGGGCTTCACATGGCTTCCCGCCATGTCTAAGCAACGGAGACTGGGTACCCACGAGCACCTGCTCGCGGACCGCTCCGCCAACAAGGTTCACTTGGTCGTCTACCCCTCAAGCTGCGACCACTCCAAGGTCATGGTCCACACCAATTGCCGTCAGAAAATAGGCAATACAGTCGAGTGTTGCTCACACTCCGAGCTGCCGGTGATCTTGGAGAAGGTAAGAGAGATCAGCTGCCTAACTCTTGAGGAGCTCCAACAGCTCCGTCGCTGTCAGAAGAGCTACCTCATTTACATGAACTCGGACAGTGTGCGCTGAGAAGCACCGCAGGATTCTCGGGGCATCAGATATTGAGCCAACCAGTGGGTGTAGTAACTTTCCCCATAACACATCTTGAAAAACTTTTGCAGCTGTTCTGTTTGAACAAAAAGTGCGGCGCCAGATGTTGCATTATCACATTTAATGTGGGAGTGACATGAGCAACGGAGGTTTGGAATGGGGACCCTACTGGGGCCATTTTGGCTCAAGTGGGTCCATAATTTGTGCGGACCACAAGTGGGAGGGCTGCGCATGGAACCCGTGGTCACTCAGGAGGATTCAGTGGGAGACCTCACAGAGGTTTTCTTCCTGCTGGTCCTTTCCTGGGTGGTCACCGGTTTCGCCGGCTTCCTTCCTCCTCAGTGCCGTTCGCCTGCTTCACCACGTGGGGCCCACACGGCCAGAGGCTCCTGAGGAAACAGACGTTCACGAGCTATCAGCTCAACGTAGCCACCAGGGAGTGGTCCAGGAAGGAGTTACCGGGACCAGCCTCCTTTCACCAGTGGTATCGCTCATGGCGAGTATATAGGACAGCCCTCCTATTACTAGATGCCTGCGATCCGGAAAGACTGGACTGCTACGCCGAGACCATCAGGGGCTTTGTCACGCAGTTCGGAGAAGAAGTTTGGTTCTTGGTGGCGAAGGCGGACGCAGAGATGAGAAGCAAGCAGCTGGAGAGGTTGAGACGTCAGCTCCGAGTGTCTCCAGCCCATGGCTTCTCCGAAGCATCACCGTGGTCGGCATGCTATGCAGCGGCAGCAAAGGACCACGAGTTCTGGTCGCGTGAACTCAACACACCGGCCACGCTGTTCTTAGCGCGCCGCAAAAGAGAAGGACCACAGGTGAAAACAGAGGACCGAGCATCGCCAAAGAGGCCCCGCCAAGGAAGAGCGCCTCGCAGAGGCCACATCGGGGATGACAAGTCGGAGAAGGACGACCAGGGCACATTCCTCAAGAATCGCCGTGGGACCGAGATCTGCAAGAACTACAATCTGGGGAAATGCGGATCTGCTGCAGCCCAAGGCAAATGCAAAGCCAAGAGAGCACACCAGTGCAATCGATGCATGGGCCCTCACCAAGCGCTGGCATGCCCTGGGAAGGGCAAGACGGACTGACCCAAGAAGAGAAGGGGCGGGGCATCTGGCGCCGAACCCGGCCCTGCTACAGTCAAGGCGCCAAAGAAGAAGCAGCAGAGACAGAGACCAAGAAGCGGCCGAGGTCCCCTACGGCATCCCTTACGAACGAGCAGAGGGAGGACATCAAGAAGGGAAGAAGACCGACGTCACCGCCAAAGACTGAGCCTGAATCCCAACCTTCGGCACCATCTACGGCTCAACAGAAGGAGCAACCCGAGGAGAACCAGGAAACCAAGCCCGACGACAAGCTGACCGTGGACGCACACCCACCGAGGACGTATGGCTATTGGATGCACTCCAAGCAAAACCCGAGGTCGAAGCCATGGGCCCTGATACTGTTCTCGGGGAAGAGCAGGGAAGGAGACATCCAGAGGAACCTATAGCCTCCCGTGGGTGGCGCGTATGCGCTGTGGATACGGTGGCCCCGCGCCCTATACCGACATCCTGTGCGACGCCACGTGGCACTCCATCTGCACGGACATCAAGCAGGGCAAGTTTGATGCGGTGTGGATTGCAACTCCTTGCGAGACCTTTTCACCCTTGAGGGAGAAGCAGCCCGGTCCGAGGTCCGAGAGTGCTGCGGACGGTGGAAAGGATACAAGGCCTGCCACGAAACACTCTCACGCAGGCCGAACAAAAGCAGCTGAAGGAGTCCAACATCCTGGTGGATCGAACGGCCAATGCGGCGGAGGCACCATCCCGGGTCAAGAAACCGTGGGGCATTGAAAACCCAGACCACGGAGAAGACAGACCCAGCCTATGGCTCATGCCTCAGATCAAGACCCCAGGACATCCGCTTCGACCAGTGCAGAGTGGGACTGGCGACTACCAAACCTACCAGGCTGATGTTGGGCAGGATGGACCTCTCACACCTGAACACCCCATCCAAGAGTACAAGAAGGCTGACGGCACAACTGGACGAGGAGCACACATACCTACAGTCCAGAGATGGATCACCAACAGCGAGGGCAAACAGTAAAGAGCCTCCAAAAGCCAGGGCCAATACACGCCCATGTTTTCCGACTTCATAGCCAGTGCATTCCACGCCACTCAGGCGGGAGCCGATTGGCTGAAGGAGGAACTCAAGGGCGAGGAGCTGCCCTGAGACCCCACCAAACAGTTCTCCCTGATGAATGTGGCCCTCAACATCAGGGAACAGGAAAACCTGAGGGCGATTGGAGGCATGCGTAACCCTCAAGCTGCGGTTAAAAGATTGCCAGGGGCGAGAACCCAGGGAAGAGCAGTGCAAGAGCTTTTACAGAAGGCACAGAAACTATGGCCGCAACTGCAGAGCCCGGCCAAAGCGATCCTGAAGGGAGATCAACCCGGCGAACTACCTTCACAGGTGGTGGACAACATCAGGAGGGTTCTGCTGGGCTCACTATGGTGCACAAACCCAAGACCAGACAGAACGGCAACGGCAAGAACACCCCTCAAGTCAGAGGCGATAGCTGGGTGGAAGTGCGACCCAGACTCCAAGACATTGGCAGACTGGCTGGCTGGACCACACGGCGCCCATGGGATTTGACCACCCCATCCAGAACACTGGAATCTTCCCGGCCGTGGAGAAGCGCGCAGCAGAAACGGAAGCCCAGCAGGTTCAGGCCAAGACGTTGGAAGGATGGAAGAACTATTCGTCGGCAGAGGAAGAAAACCAGGAACTCCAAAAGCTCGTCAACGAGTATGTGGACAAGGGGTTGTGCCATCTGGTGGACACGCTGGAGGAGGCAGAGGCAGAACTGGGAAGAAAACCCATCATCAACAAGCTGGGAGTCCTGGTGAAGGAAAAGATGGAGCACGACAAGGTCATCCGCAAGTCAAGGATCATCTGGGACATCAGGAGGTCGGGAGCCAACATGTGCTGCCACCAAGGGGAGCGCATCATACTGCCGCGACTCTTGGACTTGGCTGCCGGTGCATTGGAAGGTTACAGAGACCACCAACCTTGCTGGGTGGCCGCGATCGACATCAAGGACGCCTTCCTGAACATACCGGCGGGCAAGGACAGGTTTGCCTTGACAGCCGCAAAACCAAAGCGCAAACCACAAGACGAGCTGCAGGTCTTTGACACTCTGGTGTTCGGGGCAGCCAGCAGCCCTACGGTGTGGGGACGCTTTGCGGCATGGCTGGGGCGGACGCTATCGGCAATAGAACCAAGAGCCTCCACACAGATCTTCGTGGACGACCCAGCCTTCGTGTTGAGGGGAGAACGAGACGAAGCGGTGGAGCAGCTCACAAACATCCTCCTGTGGACCGCGGTGGCAGGGGGCAAAGACATCAGCTGGATCGGAGCCCAATTCGAGCTGGACGACGGGGGAGCCGCGGTCAGAGTGTCCATCCGACAAGATTAACAAGCTCAAGGAGACCACGGAGAAGTTCCTCAAGAGACCTGTGGTAGGCAGCCGAGAACTTCGATCCTACGGGCCTCATCCCACACTTGGAGACCCTTCCTATCTTCACTGTGAGCGGTTCTACCCTTCTGCCGTGCAACCACTGATGACGGAGCCCAGACGAAGGGAAATTCCGGAAGGTTGGTGCATGTCAGAAGGATCGAACCAGCACTCAAGTGGATAGGAGCCCTCCTTTCAGGGGAAGCAGCACCGCTGAGGAGGGAGCTGAAAGCTTTCTTTCCCGCGCTGGAGGTCACCGTCACAACAGACGCGTGCCCGTTCGGTATGGGAGGAACGTTGCGGGTTGGGGGAGAGCTCAAAGAGGTTTTCTCAATAGACACACCCCAACAAGTACTCCACAAATTCGACGCGTGACGAGGGGACTCAAAGCACACCACTATGTGGGAGACCCTGGTGCTGCTCATAGCCTGCAGGACGTGGCTAGGTAGATTCGTAGGGGTATAGCCAAAGTACATTGCCGCAGCGATAGTCTCTCTCTGCTCCAAACACTTTTAAAGGGGCGGGCCAAGGCAACAGACCTAGCCAAGATCGCCCGCGAATTCGCACTGGACCTGGCTAGGGACCGGTACAGACTACATCTGCTCACGCACATGCCGGGTGTCACAAACCTGGAGGCAGATGCACTTTCAAGGGCGTTTGCGCCCATTTCTCCTTCACTCCCAATGTCTCTAGCGGGGATCCCAAGAGCAAATGTCAAGCTAGGACCCGAATTTTGGACGGTCGACAGCTGACAAAACAAAACCAGGGAGAGCGGGGAGGGTGCAACACACACCACACAACTGAAGCCAGCATGTGAGTTTGGATAACACCATCCACTCAGTCAGCCTGGCTGGCAGACGGGCTCAAGCTCACCATGCCAGGCAAACGCCCTTGGCATAAACGCACGCCAGCCGCTGCCATCTCACATGGCCGCGCGGTGTTCCGTCAAGAGGCAACGCGGGGGCGAGCTTTCGGACACCCTCCGAGCAACCCTCTTGCGAGCCTGGCGGAGGCAACCCCAAGCCTTATACGGCAGAGGATCGGCGGCAGATAGCCTTCATGGAGAACCCAGAGAGATGTGGCAAAGCACGGAGAAAGGACGTTAGTGCGGCAACCACTCTGGGCCCCAACGCTTCGAGGCGACAGCTATGGGCAGATTTGGCTGGAAAGGCAGGGTACCCTGACCCATTCTTCCTCCAGCCTTCTATGATCTATGAAGTCTGGGAGCATTGAAGCTTGCCGGCTTCAGGTCAGCCCAATTGTACCTCGACGTGGCCAAGGCCCAGCACATCAGTCAGGGCCACATCTATTCCGATCAGCTTCAGCAAAGCTATCGGGCAGCAGTCCGTAGCTGCCAGCGTTTTCTGGGAAGCCCCAAGCAGGCAGCCCCGCTTCCGCTGGACAAGTTGGCACTTAAGAGCCGGTGGCCAAGGGAGGCCCCATGTGGCCCGCACGGGCATCACTGCTGGCTAGCTGGTGGCTTCTCAGGGAGATCGAGGCAGCCCACGCCATTCGGGAGCACATAGAGATTGACCAGGCGAACAAGCGTGTCAATTGGCGGCTACCGCCATCAAAGACGGACTGGAAGGCGCTCGGTGCAACCAGGAGTCACTCGTGCTCCTGTGAGTGCGCACCGGCAGCAGAACCTAGCAGCCCGGTCTTCCCTTCAAGTGTTGGGAGCCCGGCTTCAAAGACAGGATGGGCAGACACGTTCCAACACTTACGTGCCGCACTTGGCTTACCCACATCGCATCCAAACGGTGCGAGGAGCTTTACTGGCCATTCGGCGAGAGCATCAGGAGCTGTGCACCTAGCTGCAAGCCAGATCGAAGTTTGGCGGATCCAGCTTTTCGGCAGGTGGGGCTCATAGGTGTTTCTGCAGTACATCAGGGACGCACCGCTCAAGCAACTGGACAAGCTGGCTTTGGAAACATCGGTGCACCTGTCCATTGACGCAGCCAAACTCCGCCTGGAAGACCTTCTACGCCGGCCGCAGACAGGCCTAGCATCAAAGGTGGCTTGCCCCACCCCGCTGATGTTGGAAGATTGCGAAGCCTCAATCAAAGACTCAGAGGCTCCTCAGCAAACAGACCAGTGGATACGGAACCAAAATGGGGGCAAACTCCATAGAGCCCTCATATTCGGAGACAACTTCCACCCCAGAGAGTGGAAGACCCGATGCGCCTGGCATTTCGGAGGACCCCATACTCTCTACGAAGCCTTGCGAGAGATTCCTGAACAAGCATCTTTCTGCTTCAAGTGCTTCCCGGAGAAGAAGGAATCTCCTGAAACATCGGACTCCTCATCCCATTCAGACTCTGACAGCACCTCATCCGCGTAACTGCCTTGCAAGTGGGAATTAAATTTTGGTTTCTGGCTGAGTTGGCAAGTGGCATTTTAATCTTGTCATGCTGGGTGCCACCTGTGATGAAATCCAGTGGTAACAGCAGACGCCATCATTCAGCCATCGTGTCAAAATTAATATGGTGGGCGGATGGGGTTATGCGAAGTGAGATCTTGTCGCATTATCACATTTATGTGGGAGTGACATGAGCAACGGAGTTTTGGAATGGGGACCCTACTGGGGCCATTTTGGCCCAAGTGGGTCCATAATTTGTGTGCCCGCCCATCTTGACCCTGGGAGAAAGCGAGGCATTTTAATCCTGTCATGCTGGGTGCCACCTGTGATGAAATCCAGGGGTAACAGCAGACGCCAACATTCAGCCATCGTGTCAAAATTAATATGGTGGGCGGATGGGGTTATGCGAAGTGAGATCTTGCCGTTTCAAACCTGTTGGCACCCATATTTGGTTCAGGTATCATAGGGAATCGCATGTCCTTTCCCATGTCTATAGCGGACTCCAGGCGTCGTTCTAAGTCCACTTTGCGACCACTTGATGAATTTGAAACAGATCGTTTGTTGATTCTGTGATTGCCCGCCTTTGTTCACAAGTGCCTCCTATGGTACCGCCGAAGGATCGGCAGGGGGCTTGTCAGATGTATATGCATGGTGAACTTGCTTCATCAGGCACCAAACTGGTGAATTGAGCAGGGAAGTAGGGATTCAGGTCGCACGACCAAGACACTGAGCACAGCCGTTGGACTGGAAAAAAAGGAGTGCTTGGACCCTCTGTGACAAACTCAGCAAATGAAAGTTTGACAACGGCTCCTTGGATTAGAAACATTGGAAGTTCGGCCTCCCCCCTTATCCCAACAGTTGGGCACCCTGAGATCCTGAAACGGCGTGGATTGGGACAGGCTGAATGCTGCGGCCGAGCTCACTGCAAATGCTCGAAGATTTGGCACGCTGATGCTTTGATGCAATGGGAACCAATGGCAACTGTCAGATTTTAAGGAGTTTCCAGTTGCTTGGGATGACTCATGATTTAAATTGTCACGACTTTCCGTTTTGGCGTGTCCCGCGCTTACCCGCACAATTACGCAGATGTATGTGTTTCTGTCTTGCGAATCAATGCGAATCACCCACCTGGCTGGTCCAAGGATGCTTTGAAGACTTTAGCCACATTGAATCGCATGAGCTATGTGAATGCAGGGTTATTTCTGCTGCAGCTTCAGCGCGCTCGGATTGCTTTCAATTCCGGTGACAGAGATCGATGCTGCCAGATATTGACAATGGAGGTTCGCCAAATGATTCCACGAATCTTCCTGATTAACTTTTGCCAGATGCCTGGAAATGCCTAGGTTATAGTTTTCAGATGTTTTCAGATCACTCTTTTGCTTTCCAGGTCTTCTCGGTTTTCCCATGATTTCGCATTAATTCGAATCCTGACGGTTTTTTTCTCCGCATGACTGTTTGACTCCGCTGTCGGCCCTTAGGAACTGCATCAAGTTGGAAGTGCAAACCACAATTTTCTCCTTGGGACGCATGGTCAGTTCAACGACAGACAACAACATAAACTGGCAGTGTTTGTTCTGCATCCTGCTCGCTCAGCTCACTGCAACATATGATCTCTACACCATTTTGTCAAGGGCGAAGAAACTTTGGGCAGGAGTCTCCATGTGTATTTTGCCACCAGAAAACCGCGATGTAAGCAGAAACTTGTCTGACACGTTCCATACTTTCCATTACTTTCCTCGAGTTGTTTACTTTGATGTGTTTCTCAATTTTTTGCTTGGAGGTTCACAAAGTTCAGAATGCTCATGTGACAACATGTGAAGGGAATGGCGAAAGCAGTACCAGAGTGGCTGTGGGTGAGCCATCTCAAGTGCTCGAAACTGCTGTGCGTGAGATTCGCTGGCTCACTTGGTTTGTTTGGTTCGCCGGAGCGCTCTGTGCTACTGTTCAGCTCCACTCTATGGCGAAGCTGATCGGCGCCTTTGTTTGCCCGGATGCCATGTGGAACTTTCCAGATAGATGTGCAGACGTCCAGAAGTATTGATTGATCTGCCGATTCTGCACAAATATATCTATTGATTATATCTCTCAATATAATTATGCCAAATTCCTGTCCTGTCAAGGACCAAGCACCAGTTGTTTTGTTTCACTTTGCCAAGCAAGGCTTGAGCCGATCTGACGAATCCTGAAGACGTTTTAGATTGGAAAAAGAAGTGACCGGACTTTGACATTCCGGAGATTCCACAGGCTCTATTCAGTTAGGCACAAACAGGAGGTCACTAAATCACGAAAGCTAGCGGTAGGTAGCTGAGTTACTCTTGCTTCAGCAAGGGGGGGGGCAGGTCTGAGTCCAACACCGTGATTTTTCACTTGAACCCCCCCCTCCCCCCAAAAAACGTCTAAAACAACAGTTCATAGAAGTTTTTTAATTCCAACTATAACAGTCTAAGCACAGATTTTTAATATTGTTGATTTCTTCATTTTTTCAACAATATCAAAACTATAATGAAAATCACAACAGTCAAAGTATAGTTACCTCGTCCATTTTTCAAAATCACAACAGTTCAAAGAATAATACCATAAAACCACAACAGCAACATAATAAAACCCAAAAACAGAACAATCAACAAACAACAGCAAAATCATCACTACCTACCATCAATCACCTCATTCATTTTTCACAAAATCATCACTGCCACCTATATCATCATCTCATTCATTTTCATAAATCATAACTACTAACCATCTATTACCTCATCCATTTTTTTAAAATCACAACAGTCAATACATCATCACCTCATCCATTCCATACCCAAAACGGAACAACCAAACAACAAACAAAAAAACAGACCAAGCAAAGCACAATATAAAAATCAAAACAGGGAACAACAATAAATATAAACCAATACCCTTTAATAATTCTATCTTAATCATCCATATTTCTAATAAATAAATATTATTAGAAATATGTTAGTAGTAAATGTCTTCAATAATTACGAATTTAAAATGAAATGCCTGTATTCCTATTATACTATCTTTATCTTGGTCTTCTTCTATGTCGGCTTTTATTTCAACTGCTTTCTCTAATAGTTCATCTACATTATCTTCATCCACATATTCATCAAAGTCATTCATAAAATAAATCTCTCGCCACTAATTGGATTTCAAAATCCAGTTTAACTCTATAATTTAAATCACCTTCTACTTCTTCATAAATTAAAGATAATAGTTCTTCTTTTTCTTCTGTTATTATGTCTTCTAAACTTTTTAAACTAAATGGCACTCCCTCTCTCATAATGCAGTATTCCATTATATATATATATATATCTTTTTTCTTGATTTCAAATGTCTTGCTATTTTAGGACCAAGTCTTGAAATCTTATATGTGTTTTGTATTCTCTTTAATGCCTCAATATGGCAATGTTCAATTTTCAAATATTTAGGGTCTCCAATTTTATAAGAAGCAATTTTACTCAGCACATCAACGGGTAAATCCTTCGCACAATCCATCCTACTAATATACTTAACGATTCTTTAACTATATATTCAAAGATTAAAATAAGGCATTCTTTAAAAAAACTACTCAAAGATAAATTAACTAAATAAATCCGCCCGCACCGAAGGTGCTGGGGCGTGATCGTCCGGATGGCACTCGTAAAAGGTTACAGGTTTACCTGGGGGGGGGGGGCATTTTTCGGCCAAAACCTCCTGTTTTTGATAGGTCGTGACGCTCGCCTTCAAAAAACACTGTAAAAAACAGTACGGAAGACACCTGTTCGTGAACGCGCCCGTCCAAAATCGGCAAGCGAAAAGTGAAAAAACCCTGTGTTTTTCAACTTTTTGACCTCAATTTTTTGGTTTGCAACATCTTTTTTTGCGGTTCCGCAGGTGGCCTGGCCCGGAGGCGGATTTTTGAGTTTTTGGACCCGTTTTCGGACTGATTTTCGTCGTTTTGTGATAGCAGAAACACTGGTTTTTACAGTGTTTTTCTGTTTTCTGCATGCTTGACGGCTAGCTTCAAAACTTCCAAAAACCTCGTAAATTACGCTGTTTTATGTTACGGTGTGAATGAAAACATCGTAAATACCAGTGTTTTTTGACGTTGGTTAAAAAAACACTGTAAATTACAGTGTTTTTGGCCACCTGACCCTCAAAAACCATGGTATTTGCAGTGGTTTCTGCTTCTCACCGCGCAAAAACACTGTAAATAACAGCAATTTCGCCGTTTTTTCATGTTTTTCGTTATTTTTTGAACTGCGTTGGTCCGCTATACATGGCTATCAAATTCTTCGCGTTTTTTTTTTCCGACAATCAGTACTTTCGGATGTTTTTGGTCTCAATGGCCGACATCATTGGCAGTTACGAGCGGTCGCGAAGGTGTGAGAACAACATCGTTCAAACCGTGGCGGCCGCACAGGGGTTCTTGTCGCGGAGCGACGGCAATAGAAGAGAACAATGGCAGTAGAAGAGAACAATGGCTGACATCATTAACAGTGTGGACCGTTCACTCGATATGTACATATATGATCTTTATATATATATATATATATAGATATATCTCTCTATCTATCTATCGGTCTATCTTTCTCTATCTATTTTGGTTGGCCGACATCTTTGCCAGTGTGGAGCGTCCAGACAACAAAAGCCTACATCTTGCAGATATGATACTTATAAAGCTTTCAAATTTATTGCTTGGTGCAAGGCAGCACCACACAACCTCAGGTTCAGTTCTTTTTTTTGCTCTGGCCGCTCACGGACGGAAAGTTCGCAAACCTGCCGCCCCAGGATCCACACCAGGTCTTGGACAAAATACTTGAACAAGGTCTTGGACAAGTGCTGGAAAACGCTGGCAAATACTCGAACATATAACATTTATGGAAATTTATGGGAATGGGGATATTTTCTGCGATAAAATTGCAGGTGTCCAACGTCATGGGGCGATATTCGCCCCAAATCTTCCATTAGACCAGGACTTAGTATTGAAAACGCCCATGGTGACGACTGGGGATCCCTCATGACTTGGTAACCCATCACTCAACAACGCTCTTCGCGCCTCAACTCCTCCGCTCCACTTTCCGCTCCGCCCCTGAATCATGCCCCTGCTGTGTGAGCCCAACGATGCGGTGCGGGCGGTTGCCGTCGCGAAGCGACGTGAATATATATATATATATAATATTATATGCAGGGCCTGACCCCGCGACTGCTACAGACATGGCACGTCATGCCACATCATGACACATTGATACTCCTTGGGTGCCTTCCTCGACAACATTTTGCCAAAAAACATTTCTTGGTTTCTGCAGGCGCGTAGATGGGAATTGCTGCACGTTTTTCATACGCGAGCGGAATTCCAGCCACATGCGCATCTCGCAAGGTGCAATTCAAGGTAACAGCGATAAGTTGCAGATTAGTTGCAGATAGTTAGGGTATGTTTTCTTTATAGTTTGAGAGCACGAGACTGATTGAATAATACTGATTCAGTCATTTCAACGCGTTCAGGATACAACGACAGTTACCGCTCAGTTGCACAAGCCATGTCTTTCCAATGCCCAGCTGTAGACTGAGGCTCTGCAAGTTGGGCCATTGCTGCCAGGGTCCCGGTTTGCCCGGTTTGCCATGCACTTGCTTTGCATACTTTATTACACCTTATACACTTGTGACTTTACCATACTTTACCAATACTTCAGCGCTTCTTCGCATTTTATTGCTTGGAATTCTGTGAGGTATTTTGTGACATGTGACTGATGTGACCATCCGAGCCCCCCTTAGGTTGCTGGCTCCGTGACGAACAGGCAACAAGCTTAGCTCTGGGTAAATCCGCTTGCAGTTCCAACCCTGGGCAGTGATGTCAATGCGGCCAATGTTGCGCAGGCTTTGCATCTCGAATCCAGAGAATACTGAGTCGCTGGCTCAAGATGGACTCAAGATACCCCAAGTTCTGCCGTCAACAGTGGATTCTTGCCAGTGACTTTGGATATTCCCAAAAGGATGTGATGCCAGCGCCGTCCTCCCAAAGCTAGGAGTTGGTGCTTGCGAGTTCCAGTTGCACAAGTCTTAGCACTTGCCAAGGCTTGAATTGTCGGCACAACAGTTGCTATCGCCAGGAACTTGGAAACAAAGCTCAACCAATCTCCACTCAAGGGTGACGGATTCTAAGGATGTTCAGAATGTTAAGACATGGCTTAGATTGCTAAGATCTGTCAAGTTCTGTTAAGTCATGGTACACTGGATTCTGCAGAGTCTGAAACAGGAACGTCGCCATAGTTTAGCCGTTTGAATGTTTGCTTCGATGTGGACGCGTAGCGCAGTGCCTTGCAAGGTGCGAACGCAAGTTCGGCAATGGTTGTGAAGGAGGTATGCTAGATATGGTGTGGATGCCCAAAAACTGCCATAAAGAAAAACCATACGAAGCAATATGAAGCAATATATGAAGCGACGATGCTGAGCAAAATTTATGTGCCTTCTTCCGGCATTCTCATGGACTGCTCTGAGCGAAGCCACTCCAAATCCTACAGTTTGTTTGAGCGCAGTAAGTTTCAAAAAGAAAGATGACTGCAATACAAATAAGGTGACAATGTTTGAAATACTTGTGACCATCCAACAGGGCCAGGGCAGAAGCCGGCCATGAGCATCACCTCTGCTTCCATCTTCCAACATCTTCCGACATTGAACAGGTTTGGAGCTACATCAAGCAGGAGGGATTGGTGAGCCTTTTCCCTCAGACATTTCTTCCGTCGTGACAGCTTTGATTTTCTTTTTGGATTGCTTGCTGCAGCAGGGCAGACCCGCACCGTCAGGTTCAACTTGCTTCCCCTACAAGGCACAGGCTGAGCTCAAACCACATGGGAACACCACGGGAACACGTTCCAAGCGATCCCAGGCAAATGGGACTACACCATGTTCCTATTGCAATGAAGAGGCTTGAAGATTCTCGCGGAGATTGTTGGTTTGTGCACAGTGACAAAGCGATTGTGGGATCGTCATTGGACAGTCATGGGGTCACTGCAGCAACGCGATGCCACGCGACGCCACGCAACGCGACTCGTCTCCCTTTGAGGAGCCAAAGCAGCTCGCATCGATTTGTCGACTTAGCACCGCAGACAGCATTCGACGAGAGGCTGGAAGGGCTGGGTGGAAGAGAGCGCGCGCGAGAGGGGGGACCAGATGTGGGATACATGTGGGCTCTGGGGTTCTTAGAAAGGAATTTAATAAGACGATAAAGTGAGATATAGTGAGATTCTGTAAAATGCGCAAGCCGTTCTATTCGCATTGGCTTTTTGAACCTTAACAGCTTCAGCATTTTGAATTCTTGGCCTTTATAAATTCATATCTTTGGTATGCAGTCACTAGTTCCTCCATGTCCCTCCGAGAGTGCCTTCATGGCTTCGCACGCCGTGGCGCTCTTGACATCTCGTAGCACCGTAGCGCGCAGATTTTCCTGAATGGTCCTGTGGTGGCGCCTGTGACACTGATGAACGACTTCCTGGTTTACAGGCGTGATAAACTGCATGTAGCTGCACGTGAGCTGTGATTCGATGGAACTCTGACACCATTTCCTCCTGTGCAGTGATGTGCATGCAGAATGATGGACCTTATTGGATCTGCGCTTGGAAGGAAGAGTATCGGATCAAAGACACAAAGAGAGTTTTCATCATGGTTCATATTTGCACGATTTCACCGCCGTGTAGCTGCTCTGTGTAGCAGTGTACCCTTTCTCAGCTGGAGCCTCAAGAAAGAACAAGAAAGCAGGATGGTGCAGGATGCACACTCTACTGATTGTGTGACAGATTGACTGAAGGAAGTTTAGCAGCAACAATGGCGAGAGCAGTAGAAAAGTCGCGAAAAACTGTGTTTGTTTCGGCTGTTTTGTGGCCCTGGATGCTCTGTAGGGTCGAAAAGTAGGCTCGCTAAAGCTGCGGGTGCGGAGACATGTAGCCGGATGAGAGATCAAGAACTGCACGCCGTTGTGGCGCGAAGCGCGTTTGGAAGTCAAAAAGCTAAAAACACATCACGTCCGGAGCCGCTTTCGCAGTTGAGATGTTGAAAAAGCGCACGCGACAGTGGCGCGCAGCAGATTTCAAAGTAGAAATTGTAAAACACAGCAGCCTCGGAGCACTTTTGGAACTTCCTATGTTCAGAAAGTGCACGCGGCTGTGGCGCAAAGCACGTTTCGAAGTCAAAATTAAAATGTGAAAAACGCCTCAGCATCGGACCGCCGGACCATTTTTGGAAGTTGAGATGTAGAAACAGTACAGGCCGTTCTGGCGCGAAGCACATTCGCAAGTAAAAAGTGTTAAAGGCTGACAGTCTCCGACCACTTTTGGAAGTCAGTTAGGATGTGATTTTGCGTGCCAGGCGCTGTGGATTCTGCACCTTGCCAAAAGTGAGCAAAACATGAGTGCTTTGTGGCATGTTCAAAAGCGATGGCAGGCGTGGGACGTTTGAAGAGGGTCTGCAAAGATGCATGTCGCGCGGTAGTCGCAGTACAAGAGACATCCATCAGACATGTTAAGAGGTCAAGGCGCTGATTCCTGAGAGGGGTTGCATTTTGGAGTATCAGATCTTCAGACTTGCTAAGATGAATTTGCATGACAGGTGCGGCACTTCGTATGACCTGGCATCACTTTTTCGTGGCAGGCGCAATACTTTAACACCCATGGAGCGGAAAAAACGCAAAACGCATTGGTACGAGGCCGTCAGCTCTGCACTCAACTTTTAATTTTTGAAGCAAGTCTCACAGAATTTCTTCGTTTTGGAGCTGTCAACATCCATTTTTCGAAGAAGTCTCGCAGCATTGCTTCGTTTTGGGCCTGTCAAATTCGACTTGTGAAGGAGGTCTCACATAACTGTTTCCTTTCAGATAGATGGATAGTTAGATAGATCGATCGATCGATCGATCGATAGGTATAGAAAGATTGACACATAGATAGACAGATAGAAAGAAAGATAGGTAGACCGACAGATAGATAGACAGACAGATAGATAGATAGATAGGTAGATAGATAGATAGCCAGATAGGCAGATAGAAAGATAGAAAGATAGACAGATAGTCAGATAGACAGATAGTCAGATAGTCGGATAGTCAGATAGGCAGATAGACAGATAGACAGGTAGACAGACAGACAGATAGATACATAGATAATCAGGTAGTCAGGTAGTCAGGTAGGTTGGTTACCGATAGATACATAGACAGTTTGATAGACAGAAAGATAGGTAGACAAAAAGATAGGTAGACAGAAAGACAGAAAGATAGAAAGAAAGATAGATAGATATATTTACAGAGAGACAGACAAACAGACAGACAGATCAATAGGTAGGTAGCTATAGATAGAGAGAGAGAGAGACAGAGACAGAGACAGAGACAGAGACAGAGACAGAGAGACTCAGACCCTCAACGACCTTTCGGTCCATCAGTTCGCTCTGCCATCCATGATTCACAACAACTCACCTCTCCAATGGGTTTCCTATCTTTGAAACTTCCGCCACCGCCTTGTGCGGTACAGTTGGTATGACTGATACGATCGATGCGATTCATACGGTTGATATGGGCAGGATAAGTTATGTGATCTGTGATGCGCATCCGTGCGCCCAAAAATTAGGAAATGATTGGAAAGTGCGGCCAAACTGTTCCAAGTTGTTCCTCAGTGGAAGGGAGAGCGCTTTGCTTTAGATTGTCAGCCTGAGGCAGCCTTGGGATGAGGACCGCTAGTTCCATGTCTCTGAGCTGACTGCTGAAAGTTGCATTGGAATTTTACAGAAGATTTGCTATGTTTATGATATGTTTCTGATAATTCTGATATGTTTATGATATGCAGACGATGCGCTTATGTGCTGAATGAACTGTGTTTCCGCTGCCATCTTGGGAAGCCGCATCGGCTCAGCATCAGTCAGTATCTCAGTCGTGCAGTTTGTGATTTTTTTTGAAATTCAGCAATGGTATCAGTTGCAAATGTTCGAAGTTCAACTGAAGTTTTTGGCATGTGTCTAAATTTGTCTAAATTGAATGTTGATTCTGATTGATTCTGTTCAACGTTTGACATGTTCTAAAAAAAACAAGTCGTTTTTTTGTCGTTTCATCAGACGCCATAGACGCCGAGGTTTGGAGAGGGCCAAGAGCCATGTTGTTTGAAACTCAGTGACTTGAGAGGATAGAGCAGTGCGCGGGGAACACTTAAAAAAACAGGCAAAAGAAACTGAAATCGCAGATCATGTTGGTGTCTATATAGATTCTAATTAGATTCTAATTAGATCTAATTATATTAACGATCAATTTCATGATCTATATTGAATAGGTTTTTAATGATCATACATAGATTAATAATTCTATATATAGCATCCGTGAATATCCCTGAGATATCCTGAGATCATCTCAGGACAAGTGCCCGTCGACTGGGCCTGGCCACAGCCACAGTGGTGGAACTGTGCGTTGTCTTCAATAAACATTCGCAAAAGTACCAGTAAAATAAGCACTTGGAATATAGAATGTGTTAGTCATTTCAAGTAAATCTCAATGAAAATCCATATGTTTAGTCAATTCAAGTAAATCTTTCCTTGACATTCGCATTGACATTCACATTGATATTCAGACAAAGAAATGCCTTAGGTTGCTGTCATTCTGGCAGCATGGTCCGGGGACTTAGATATTTTTTTTTGGGAAGAACTTCGATCATCTTCGATCTTCCAAAGACCATCGCACCATTCTGAGATTCTGAGGCTGACCTTCTTGAGGCCATCTGATGACTTCCTGCTGATGTGCCAGGACAACAGTGGCGTTGCCGCCTCAAAGGGGGACGTCCCTATTCAGGACGTCCCTTCGGGATGACAGTGGGATGATGTGTCCAGAGTGGATCCTGTTTGGGTCTGAACCTTTGGGGTAGCTGAACTGTTCAAAACATTCGTCTGAACAATATCTTGCAATATCTTGCAATATCCTGCAATCTGAAGGTAGAAGGTATTTGAAGGTGGCTGAAAGTAACATGGGAGGTGACGGGAGGTGGGGAGGTAGTCATGTGAGAGCGGGGTGCAAGGCTTGGATAAGGCGGCGATGCCGATTTGCGATGCTGAAAGATTCCAATAGATGTTTTTTTGGTATGTTTAACCATGTTCAACCTTGTTTAACCATGTTTAACGATGTTTAACGATGTTTGGCTTGTGGCATCAGCATGTAGCAATGCAGCTTAAATGGGACTTGTTTTTTTTTTGTATCTGAGGCTTACAAGATGAAGGTCATGGGAGTCGTCGGCAAGGGTAACAGCCCACATATCCGCGCCATTGAACCTGGCGATGTGGCCGGGATGCCAAGGCATCGATGCCCCCGATGGATCCCCCGGGATGCCACACAGCGGGGTGCCACGACGCTGAGGTCGTCGTCGTTGGACGCACCGGAGGTCCCAAGAACAAGGTCTTGCGTGCCATTGTGACACGTATGCGAAGAGCCTTTCGGCAGATTCTGAGATATTCTGTCTGAGCGCCATGTGTTTCTTCACAAGAGCCTCACCCTTCACATCCCTTCACAAGTCACATCTCTTCACATTTCTTCATGTGTCACGTTTCTTCACGTTGTCGCAGTTCTTCACAGCCGTTTGAGGCGGATGAGGGAACAGATCAGCAGGATTTGAAGAAATGTTTGACTCCATTTTGACTCCACTTTATCAGCACACGGGATACACGGGATACACGGGATACACGGGATACATGGGATGGATTTCGACAGTGCTTTGCTGAGGGCCAACCGGACCCTTTGAAGAACGGCATGCAGAATGCCTTCGACACCAACTGTGGCGTACTGGTTCCCACCTCATGGCCGCCATAACTGCCATAGCTCTATCATGATTATCATGGAAGAGTTTTGAGAACAAGTACTAACATGCATTAACAACTTCTGACTCTGGATACTCTGGGGGATGTGTCTTTAGTTTCTTTGATTCACTTTATGTTATTTTCACGATATTAGTTTAACGTATTTAACGTTCCTGTAGTTTACGTGACTCTGTCATTGAACTGTTTGAGGTTGACAAGGAAGGGAACCCTGTCGGTTGCTGCCTCAGAACCAGATTTGATGTGAATCAAAATACACTATAATTATAGCTATTGCCATAAGGTCATTGCAGATATGGCATTGCTAGTCCTTTCTGCCACGGGTTTACTCTTTGAAATCTCATTTGATCATGGTTTATCTTATTCGATCTTATTTGATATTATTGGTATGTTTGCATGTGTCCTGCCGACCTGATTTCATCTTATTTCATCTTATTTCATCTTATTTCATCTTATTTCATCTTATTTCATCTTATTTCATGTTGCTTTCGTATGTAGGCCAGGGGCAAGGAACAATAAGAACAACCTTTGAGAAATCTAAAGCAACGGATTCTGCTCCATTCTGCGCCATTCTGTGTGAAGCCTTGCGTGTGCCGTGCGAGGAAGCAAGATTCTGGGAAAGATCGATCCCAGGTGTGCGCAACGCGGGTCCGTTGCGGGTCCGTTGCGGGTCTGGTGTGGCTGGGTGTTCCATGGTGCTGGGTCGTTCCCGCGTCGCAGGTGCGCCATGCGGTGGCCAAAACTTGCGCAGCTTGCAGAGGGCTGAGATGTTGCGATGTTGACAGTGACGCTGCTCAACTTGCTCAACTGCTTGGGTCTTTCGAAAAGTCACATGTGTGTAACACCAATAAGAACTATCACACAGCTTTGCCCTATGCTCTATTGAGATTTTATTGAGCAATATCTGTATGATCTTTGTGTTTTTGTTTGAGTTGGAAATTCCATTGACCTGGTTGACGTTTTTTTTAGAACATGCCTTTGCACACGTCATCCTTCTTTGTTTCAACGAGGCCGCGCGATGAGTCTGAAGGGTGGCAAGTTCCAATTGGTGTCTGTAGATGTCCTATGTCAACTCCCGGTACCTGCGGTACCTGTCCTCATATCTTGACTAAACATGTCACACTTTTTTGTCACACGGACCAAATACTGAGCACCTTTGCATGACCTGTGAGGATGAGAAACAAGATGAAACGATGAAACAAGATGAAACAAGCTGTCAGTAGAAACATGCCATGGGCGTTTGGTATTTTCGGATGCAAAAATGCCAGCACTGCCAATTCTCCGTAGCTTGCCACGATCCATCAGAAAACAACAACTCTCTCCGTGCTTCAGCACAGAAAAAGATTGCGGCTTGTGCTGGTGCGGCTTGTTCCAAGATTGCTTTGTTGGGACTTCAAGAGCCAAAATCCAGAAGTAAAAACCACTCTGAGAAGCGTCCAAGCATGTCCAAGCTATCAATTTTATTGCAGATGTCCAAACTGCTGATGAGACATCTCCGGACTGTGGAGGACCCGAAATTGCCATTGGACGGCGGAGCCGCAGACTCATCTGGTCATCAAAGGTCATCAAAGGTCATCAACATTTGCAATGTCTACGAGTGGTCTATGACGAGTCTATGAGTGTCGAAAAATCGCAAAGACAAGGTGCATCGGTGCAGCGTTTCGCCCGTTTCGCCAGCAGCCTGAGGTGTTGAAACCGGTTGAAACTGATCGGCTTGAGCTGTGTTTCACCATGTTTCACCCGTCTCAAACAATGCAATTTTCTTTGATTTTTAGATAGGCAATGCACAGCGGCAGAGAAACTTCCAGCCTTGAAGTAAACGTGCGAACCCCCTAGATTTCAGAATTCCCAACACGGTGTGTCTTCCAGATTCTTCCAGCCTCAGCATGAGTCTGCTCATACAAGCTGCGCTTTGTGAGATGTGGAGGAAAAAGAAACGAAAAAACAAAAGCAGCATGAAAGCAGCAGGATGCACCTTTCCATACCTTTCCATACCTTTCCCTTCTATTTATCTATTTCTATTCCCTGGCAACATCATGTAACATCTGGTGTCACATGATCTTCGATTTTCCGAGAATTTTGGGCCAGGTCTGGCATCTACCGGGACTGGACCTGAGAAAACGCCAGTGCCAGTGCCGCCAGTGCCGAGTTGGTGCGTGCGCACTGCAGGAAACGCGCACGGCAACACAGCTGGTTGACACTTGGCATCACAAAAGGCCTTGACCTGGCAGAGCTTCACTGGTTGGTGGTTTGAACCATGTTTTTGAAAACCATAGATTGGGAATGTCATCATCCCAACTGACGAACTCATATTTTTCAGAGGGGTGGCTCAACCACCAACCAGTTCATTTTCAACTTGCTTCACAGCTTCAGTCAGAACTGCACTAACAATGATGTGTTGTGATCCGTCGCGGCATTGCGGATATTGCGGCATTGCATTCCGGAGCTGGCCGGATAAGGACCTCAACCGACAACGGCAACTTCATGCTGTCAAAGTGATCGGTTTGGTGCTGATTTTGGTTGGCTGAACCGATGTAGTCAAGTTTAAACAGAGAGTACAGTGCATCAGTACACAATAATAGATATAATTATATGATATGTATATATATAACAGTATATATAACTGTGTATATATATAAATGTATATATATATATAACTGTATATATATATATATAACTGTATATATATAACTGTATATATAACTGTATATATAACTGTATATATAACTGTATATATAACTGTATATATAACTGTATATATAACTGTATATAAAACTGTATATAAAACTGTATATATAATTGTATATATAATTGTATAACTGTATATATAACTGTATATATAACTGTATATGCAACTGTATATATAACTGTATATAAACCTGTATATAAAACTGTATATATAACTGTATATAAAACTGTATATATAACTGTATATATAACTGTATATATAATTGTATATATATATATATGTATAACTGTATATATAACTGTATATAAAACTGCATATATAACTGTATATATAACTGTATATAATATAAAACTGGATATATAACTATATATATATAACTGTATATATAACTATATATATATATATAACTGTATGTATAGCTGTATATATAACTGTATCTATATATATATAACTGTATATATATATATATATGTATATATATATATATGTATATATATATATATAACTGTGTATATATATATACATAAGTATATATTATAAACATATATATTTTAATCACATATATATATATAGAGAGAGAGAGTACACATTTTTTGGCAAATTCACATTCGGTCTCAGGTTGGGGTGCGGAAGAAACTTCAGGGAGAGAGTTTTGGATCATCGAAAACTCTTTCGGAAAGGTGCGAGGAATTCCAAACGTTTCCAGATGTCAATGATGTGGGCACCTGCAGTGTTTCCACATCAGGAATGGGGAGAGAAAGGCTATGCCAAGGCACGTTTTTTGGGCAAAACAGCTCCCACCACACCATGATTTTTAAGCAGTCCAAATTGCAAATTGTCCCTTTGACCGTCACGGTGACAGTCCTGTCCTCCCTCAGATCGAGCTCAGCAAGGGCCGTGAGGGCATTCTACTCTCAGAGTTTGCAACTCAGGATGAAATGGATGAAGAGCACGCCATGAGCAGATTGGACTGCAATCATTTCGATGCACAATGGCTCACAATGCCTCAAAATGCCTCACAATGGCTCACAATGGCTCATGGCCAATGGAATGCTGTTAAGGTTTGCATTTGCAGGGACACCAGTCAATCCAAAGGCCTGGTATGCGGTGTTTCCGGCACCGCACATGCCGCACATGGACCAGACCGTGATTTTCTGTCACAGGTGCACCGTGCAAAGCTCCAAAGTGAGTAGCAGTGAGTAGCAGTGAGCCCAGAGTGCTTGGACTTCAAAAAGATCCAACCCGTGCGACAGGTGCCCTGACTTAGAACTGCAGGGAAACAGGTTGTGTTTTTTCTGTGCAAAACTGTTTGTTGCATTACTGCACACCTCACAGGTTTCTCCAGATTTGTGTGCAGCACTGTGTTGGTTCCAGTTGGTTCCACGGTGTCACAGGTTTCATTCGTTTCATTCGTTTCATTCGTTTCATTCGTTTCATTCTGGACACCGTTGGCTCCGTTGGCTTGTTGGCTCAGACTTCTCGATGCTGTGACACAACATGGGTCCGTCCGGGAGAAGGGCGGGTTCTGCCTCCGCCTCCCCGCAGGGTCCTCAGATGTCCTCAGTGGATCCGATGTGGATCCGATCGACCCGCGCAGCATGGCTCGATCACCCGAGGTCTGGGGAGTGAATCTTCGTGAAGTGATACGATGAGTCAGGCAGTGGATCAGTCAGTGGATCAGTCCGTGGATCAGTCGTTGCCATTTAAGAATGCCTTAAGTGTATCCGACAGTGGATCCTTGGGGCAATGGGGCGTGTTTGTTGCATGTTTGTTGCATGTTTGTTGCATGTTTGTTGATGTTTATGGATGGCTTTGAAAGCAGGGGCGTCCCAAGCAGTTCAGTGATCATTTCATTGTGAAATACGTATATTATATATATATACTATATATATATATGTGTGTCATATATTATAGTCAAAATTGATTTGGTACAGATTCAAACATGGAGTGTGTCACTATGTGTCACTTTTTTGCACAGGCAAGAGGCCGTGGTGGCACAGCAGCCAAACCAGAGTATGTCAAGGAAGCACAGAATGGTGACCTTCCATCACCGAGGCTCAGACGACATCAGATGCACTGGGATGACTGGCTGGATGACTGGCTGGATATAGGTTTGATATGGTTTGATAATCTTGATGACTAAGTACTAGGCTATGGATGGGTTTCGATCAAGATCAGGATTTCAGAGAGCAGAAACGGCTTGAGATGGCTTGAGTTCGAGTTTGAGATCAGTTTGCTGGTTGCTCCCGGCGCCAGATTTGGTCACACCACAACCTTTGTGGGAGACAACCGAGTAGTGCTGTTTGGTGGAGCCACCGGTGATACAGGCATGAGATTTTTCTGAGATTGCAGTGTGTGTTGCCGTGTGCATTAGAGCACACGTCATTTTCTAGTTTCCGGGTGCTTTTGGGTGCTTTTGGGTGCTTTTGGGTGCTTTTGGGTGCTTGTGGTGGAGTTTTTCGTTAGAGTCTGGAAGGCAAATACACCATCACTGCAGATGCATTCATGCTGAATGTCCAAGTCTTAGAAGCCAGGGTGCAGTCCCGGTGAAACTTTGGAAAAAAACACGTTGTATTTCAAAGGGATCAAACACGAATGGAATGTGACGCAAAGAGTGACGCCTGCAGGTTGCGAACAACACATGGTCTCGAATAGAAGCCGAAGGCTGGAGTTCCAGTGGAGCGTTGATGACATGATGACAGCCACAATTGGTGACATGTGGTGACCATTGACTTGTAATGTTTGCTGAGATCCAACAGCATGTTTTTTGCATCGAAGATGCATGTAATCTCTGAAAAAATATAGAGTTAGGTCACGCGAACTCTAGTCTTGTGTGTGTGCACATGCATGTTTTAATATGTTTTACGATGTTATAGGAGCAGCCACAATGCAAACGTGCCATAGTGCCTGTCCCTGGATCAGTCCTCTTGAGTCCCAGGAACGATGCCCTTTGCCCGAGCTGCTCACGCAGCAGCATGTGTAGACCACTCCCAGATGGTGCCTTTCCCAGAGAGGAAGCTACTGGTACTTACTGGTACTGACTGGTGGCTGAAGGACCTGAGAAAAACTGAGAGGAGCAATGCAATTTTTGCGACGCTCCGAGGTCATCTACGGAGGAGCAACTGGAGGTGGTAGTCTATCGCCACGGCACCCAGTCCATAAGGATCCGTAAGGTCGAAAGCAAACATGTTCACATTGTTCTTCATCTTCGTGGATGGTTTTCTATTTTTTGCTAAGTTTGCTAGAGATCGCAGCCACGACTTGGCTCGTGGATGTTGACACCGCATGTTTTTTCCATAGTCACTGCTTGGTCGGACTTGACGTGTCAACGTTCCCAAGTGTTCAGCGTGGCGTAAGGTCTGATGAGCTGTACTTGCTGGACATCCGCAACGAGGCAAGTTTTTCAAGAAATCCTTCCAAGCTCTGGTTGTTCCAGGGCTTCCAGGGTCTTCACTGTTTTTCCTGGACTTTTCATGCCGAACTAGTAGAGGTATCCAGATTTCTACCATGGATTGCCATGTACATCGGCCATGTCGGTGGATTCCATTGATTCCAGGAGCATACCCAATGGATGTCCGTCCCAGTAATGGGCACAACTCCTGGCCGAAGATATGGTGCGCTGAACGATGCAACATCGAACTGGTTGTTGATGGTTGTTGGATGTTGTTGGTTTGATTGAACATGATTGAACTCGTTGGCCCTTTTCCGGATTTTTCTGGATGTTTGGATCTTCTTGGTTTTGTTCTATATTTGTTCTACTTCTTTGGCCTTCACACCCTTCGCTGAAGTGATGTGGAAGATCTTGGGAGACGAATTTCCAATGTGGCCACACTATGTCATTAGTGTCATTGGCCCGAGATTTTTGTCCAATGTTTGCAGCTTTTCGGAACAGTCTATTGGGGAGTTTTCCCCTTGATCTTTTCCAAAACCAGTGCTTTGTTACCCATACTCCACCCACAACCCTGTCAGATGAACTTGTTTTTCCAAACTGCAGTCAATTTCGTGAACCCAATATGATTCCATATGATTCCATATGATGCTCAGCATATCTCAGCATTGCACCGAAAAGTTTTTTAGCGGGAAAATATACGACACATCGTCTTTTTCGAATGCTTTGCAGTTTGCGCTTGGAATTTTTGAACAGCAAAAAACCCAGCGAAAACCAGATCACACCATGATCAAATCCAGCAGACTTTTGGCGATCGGGATCACGTGGAATCGCCAGGTCACACCATGATCTTCAACAAGCCCTTGTTGATCGTCTTTGGTGGCAACAATGGACAGCAGGTGAACGTTGGTTGCATATTGAAGCATAATCGAAGCATGTTGAAGCCGTTAAAGATACATCGTTCATCCCACTTCAAGTGTCTAAATGCCATGGTTTCATATGGTTTCTATATTTGTTTCTATATGTGTTTCTTGTTTTCCTTTTGAAAGTCTTTTTCATGGCAATGTATGCTTTTTGTCAAAGATTTTTTTAAAGCCTGATGGCCTGATGCATGTCATTTCCATGGTCGAGGCGGAGTGTGACATCTGGATCCTTGACGTCGAGCGATCTCCTTTTGCATGGCAAGAGGCGGGGCCGCCGGCGGGGCCGAAAATCGATTCGAAAAAAAAGCCTGGCATCGCCATGGTTCAGCAGAATGATGTTTTTTAAACAAATTACATCATACTGAATCATACTTCATAGATCTTTATAGATCTTCATAGATCTTTATAGATCTTCATAGATCTTTAGTGGGGTTTCAGGGAAGTATCTCTATCCGCCTGTCGATTTTGGATGCTTTGGATGTTTCTTGATCCCGAAGCAATTGGCAGCGCTAAGGTCACGGTTATAGGGAAGCGTGGGCCGCTTCCGCGAATCTACCACTCTGCAGAGGCAATGATCAGTGCGGTGTCAACTGTAGATCCACCAAAATGTCTTGCTGTTTCATCTAAGTTTCAAAATCATTTGGTCATGAGAGAATGTGATCTCATAACATCATCATGATATCAAGATATCTATTGATATCGCTGGATGTATCTAAAATCTAAAAACAAACCAGCGGATCCTTCACTTCAGTTCCCTTCCCTGCAGTTTGCAGCAGGTTTGCCGTGACGGTCCGGCAGCTGGCATGATGGTAGTTTTTGGTGGCCGGACAGCAGAAAACAAGTCCTTGAAGGACAGGCTGGATTTGAGTCCCGACATCACGAGACCACACGAGACGGGCCGTGAGACTGGTGTGATATGAGACCCAATGGTCCCAGGATTCAAGTGATTCTAATCACATTTCTAATCACATTTTTCCATCACATTTTTTAGGTGTTTCGGCCTCCTTTTTTTTTAGCACATTCCCAACGAATCTCCCACCGCTGCAGGACACATGGGGGCTTCGGCAGCATCGAGATGGCCGTTGGGACTGGGTCGAGGTGCGCCGGTCACGGACTGATCACACTTCCCAGTGACGCTTCACCGGGTAAACCGGGTAATGATATGATAATGATATGATATGTTAATATACATAATAGTACCCTCTGGTTATGACGAACATAGCCATGGGATTTCGATGGCCCGTAGAAATAGATGATTTCCCAGCGAACGAAATCTCCATTTATTTTTGGGATTTTCCATGGCTATGTTAAATAACCAGATGGTAAAATCGTGAATAGTTGTCTATTGAATAGAAATAAATAAATGTTTATAAATGAGACTAATACATATCCAAGAAGATATATTACACAATATTTCAACTATTATATCATATGGTTATGTATATGTAATGAAATACATATATATATATGTGTATCATATATATATAATATACACACATCATATGTCATATAGCATTTTTTTTCGGAAGCGATATGCAGTTCATGTCGAACTACACGTCAGCAGCAGCTTTCCATCAGCCGAATGGAGAAACAAGATGAAAAAAGAGAAAAGTTCAAAAGAACGGGCGAATCTGTGGCTGCAGGATAAGCTACTAACCAGCACCTATAACACGGGACCCGATGGTTTTGTGTAGGTGGACCCCAAAACCAACGAAACGACGGAGAAACAACCTGAGGAAATCGGTCCCGTGACGCGCAGCAGGGTTCGTGACCACTTGTCTCTCGCTTTGGAGAGTAGAGCTAGAAAAGGGAGAAAGTAACAACGATGGAGTGACCGTGGTCTCCCGGCACGCCTCTGGCGGACCTGCGAGCTTTAGCAGCAAGGTAATGGAGTTGATAAGGAAAGTTTTGTCTTGGCCCCTAAAATTGAAGTGGAGAGAGATTAAGTAAATTCACCACGTGTAATGTGGCATGGTGTGGTCGGAGCTGATGATAACAGCTACCTGGTGGTAGTTACCTCCAGGCAAAAATTTCCTTATAACAAATTTCACTTTATAAACAGGGACTTTCAGTCCCGCGAGAATAGGACATGGAAATTGCCACGGCCCCTTCAGCACAGAATGACGCGGAGGGTACATTCCAGCAAAAGAAGAGAATGCAAAGTAGGACTTGATGTGGAAGACTTCCCCCTTTGTCTTCATCTTGGAGTGAAATGTGAAAACTCCAGAAAAACGTGCATGGAGAAAATGTCGATGAAGTAGAAAATTGGCTGGAATTGCAAGCGGGATAATAATGCAAGTGAAACGAGACACAATGACACCAAGTGAGAGATGGTTGAGTTGGCGCTGGTTCCAGCAAACTCGGAGAATGAGATGTAGAAGAGACTGTGCGAGGCTTCCCCCGCAGGCTTAAGGAAGGAGTTGAATACGATAAATCCAGGAAATAAATAGTGATTGGAGAAAACGTCGATGTAGAAGAATTTAGCCAGAACAACAAGCAGGAGCTGGTATATAGTGCAGAAGCGGTCGCCAAAAGATTGTCCAAGTAGAAGATGGATGCTGCTTGAATTGTACGCGATGCTGACACGGCAGAGAAAGAATCCTGATTGGATATTCCTGAAATACAGGGGCTTGCGAACGGAGGCTAGCTAAAGCTTGTGCCCGTGCCTGTCATATATCAATATCTATGTGTATATATCTATATATATATATATACATGATCATAGATCATTTTCATATATCATATATCATAGATATGTTTTCTGTTGTGTGCTATATAATGCTGTATATATTGCTGCATATCTCATATATGTTACATCGGTTTGTGATGTTTTTGGATCCTACAAACTCGCTGGCCAATTTTTTTTGAGGCTCCCACAAAGCGTGGACCACCTCCCGAGCCGAGGTTGGACATCTAACGGAGGTCAGACATCTTTAAGATATGTTGGATGAAAGTGGATGTTTGACATGTTAGATGTGACATGGATTAGGATGAATTAGTTGGATTAATGTGACATGTTGGATGAAAGTTGGATGGAGTGGAGGGCCTACTACTGGTTTTTCCAGAACTTAACGGAAGATTTCGAGGTGTTTTTGAAAAAAATGATGATGTCTCATTGGTTCACGGGGGTACTGGAGAAGTTGGAGAAATTGGGAGAATTGGAAGTTTCATCCTGAAACTTGAAGGTTTCAGCACAGCTGCACTTTCGTGGACTCCAAGTTGCTGATCATCGGGGGACGTGGACCAGAAGTTAGCAAGCTGCTTCCTCAGTACCAAAAAGACCAGAAAACGCCAGGTTTTTCTTTGCAATTTTAATTTCCAGCATTGTTCTGATATTGTCGTTGATACGAACAGCCTTGGGGAGACATGCATAAACTGCATAAACAATATATATATAAACAATATAAAACAATAAAGAAGTGTGTTTTATTCTTGTTTAGCATATGTACACCGTTTGTCGCCGCCAGTGTTGCAACGTACTATGTTTCGATGTCAGGCCTTTGCCAACGGCGGTCTATGATACCGAGACTTGCGAGTGGCACAACATTGCCAGCGTCCAGCGGTTTCGCCACTCATCATGGGGTGCCCACCACGCATCAGATTCGAACCAAGTGAGAACAATCCCTTGCAGATCCCTTGAATTTTGCGAAGCTTGCAAACTGTCACTGCATTTTGTTTGGCATGTTTTGGCATGTATGGATATGTATGGTAGGTATGGGTGGCCTGCTTTTTTCCTATGGTGGTTTTGACCATAAGAATCCGCGTGGTTCCCAGCTCTGCGCAGAGGGGAAACCTTGGATTCAAAACCAGCAGATTCCATCAGTGACTCCGTTTTCGGTCTTGTGATGTCTTGAGCTTCAGGACATTCCCAACAGCAGATTTGCAGGCGAAGCATGGTGAAGCATGGTGAAGCATGGTGAAGCATGGTGAAGCATGGTGAAGCATGGTGAAGCATGGTGAAGCTGCTTGCGTTGGATGGTTGAGTTTATGGTTGAGTTGCTCGTAGGCGATGGACATTGAAAACGCGATCGCCGCTTCGCTGAGTGGAGTTTCAACAGAGGGAGAGGTGCGCTGCGAAAGTGGAGGGATGGCCAGGCCCAAACAGGCTGATGTGTATTTCATACCTAGATAAGGAAGGGGTATATTATCCAATATCATACTTATTATTACCTATTATTATTACATACTAAGTATCCCCATATGTATCATATATCATTATGTAATTATGTTATATTCCCACATATGTTATATTAAATGATGCAGGTCATTGGTTCAATGTTTGACACGTTGAATCAGCAGCACAGGCTGCTCCAGCAGACGATGCCAATCGCACCGGCTCCCTGGCAGATGCCAAAGCCCCGGCGTCGAGCAGTGGAAACGACATGAAATGACATTTGCAAAGGGAAAAAAATAAAAACATAATATACATGAATACATATGTTACATATATATATATATACATATACATTTGTATATATATATATACATATATACATGTGTGTGTGTCCATGATTGGTCTTGATGTAAGAATGAGATCGCAACATGCGGTCAATGCGGTCCAAACGTTGTGCGTTTGGTAAGGCGCCCAGCACTCTGGACATGATGGCTCCCACCTACACAGGAGGCCTTGGGATCCATCGGATCCACCGGATTTGTTCCATCATTTTTATAGGTTTTTGAAGTGGTGCCCCCGTTTGACCATAGGAAACCATAGGAAATTGTGGATTTAATAGGATTTATAGCACATTTATGATAGTTAAGTTGGTTTATAACTCCCATAACTATAGTTTATGGCAGATATAACTATAGTTAATGGGCTTTATAAACCAATTTATAACTAGGGGACACCACATTGTATAAGCAAGTCCCCATTCATGGGTGGTTTATGACATTCTTTTACCCAAATTTGTGGAATGTGGTTTGTGTAATTCTGTAATTGTCAATTCAGAAACTTATTCGTTATAACTTTATGTTGTTTTCTTTCAACCGTGTTGATACTTCAACGGTGTTGATCTATCAGAATCTCAGTCTTATGACTAGTTTTCTTACGCATTTGGACTTATGACGTCTTATAACCTGATATAATCAATTAACACATGTAACACATATATGTACTAGCTATTTATAGATAGATAGATAGATAGATAGATAGATATGTAATTGTAATATATATATATAGGTTTCGGCTCAGGATTCCCCCCGCCGTTGAACACAGGGGTTTCTGAGTGCCATTACCTGAGCGGGCATTGCTGGCCCGCGGGACAACACCTTCCGGTGATATTTGGTGTGTCCTTTGGGTGCTTGGTTGTTGCTTGATCTATTAGACTGGGTTGATCTTCCCCAGACTTTTTCATTTCGGGCATTGTACAACTGAGTTTCCTGCGTGACATTTACAATCAAATCTGGCCTTTCGGTGGCCCTTGCCTGGCATTGTTATCTTCACCAACTTTCTGGCTCTGCGGTAGGCCGACTACCGGAATTTGTTGGTGGATTTGCTGGCTCTGCGGTGGCCGACTACCGGATAAATTTTATTTTTGCATTTGTATTTGACAATCTACACACTCAACTGCTACGCGCTGGTGTGAATTTTGTGGACAATCTTTTTGTGAACTGCACCGTGAGGAGGTTCACCTATTTGCAATTCAATTTACCTTTGTCATTGATACTGAACTGGCCTTGCTCTGGTATCATTTTACATTGGAAATTTTGCGTGATTTATGTGCTCAATTTTGTTGGTGCTGCTTCTATTTGTGGTAACATTTTCCACATTACAAGATTCCGTTACTCACTGGTGCCCAAAGGAGGAAACAGCGGCGACAAAGAGCGACCGCCAGAAGAAGCTGGTTTTTGCACCGCATTGGTCGTGTGCCTTTGACCAGACTTGCGCTCCTACGCATCAAGAAAACCCTTGGGAGACATCACTCCAAGGATCAGCAGTTTCTCAGAATCATCCAGAAGCAAATCACAATGGACACTCCAGAATTATTCCCCTGGAAGTGTACGCAGTGCCAACGCATCAACAAAAAAGTGGCGACCCATCGCGCAGTATGCCATGTACACTGGACAACTGGTGTGCGACATCAAACGGAACCCAAGCAGCAGACGTATCAAGCCACTGCGTACAGAGACGCATGGCCGACAACGCGTCGCTTCGATTGGGAACAATGGGAGGAGTGGGAAGCCGACGACAATTCTTGGAGTTGGCAAATGCCTCTAGATGGAGCCCAAAGTCGTTCTCATTCACAGAGCACGCACAATTCGCAAAGTCCCAGAGGCCGAAAAGGAAAGGGATCAGGAAAGACCAAGAAAAAAGGCAAAGCAAAAATGACAGAATCCCAGCAATCAGAAGGAAAAGGTGCTGGAAGCCTCAGCACATCGCCTTTTGCACCGCTGGCTCCGGAGATGCCTGCTTGGACAAGCACCGAAGCATCCACTGGAAGCAATACGCCTTTTGCCACATCGACTTTCAATCCCAATACTGCAGAGCAGCTTGCACAGAAGAAAGAATGTGTAGCTGCATTACGTGCAGCATATCCAGATGGAAATGCGATTCCATCAGAGACAAAAGACCTGATCGACAAGATGGACAAGGACATCGAAAAGATCGAAAAGGACAACAACAAGTTTGTCACAAAAAACATCCACTCCGCCCGAAGTCTCTTGGGAAGGCGCAGAAAGCCTTAACCGAGACCTTGGAAGCCAAGAAAGCTCACAGAACCAGGTGGATCAAACACATCACCGAGGCTGTGACGACCTGGCAGGAACAACTGAAGGAATACCAGAAGCAACAGGCATCCCTTCAGGAAGTCATCACCAAAGCCAAGGAGGATATCGAACTGGCGAGATCAGCGATTCAGACGCTCTCATCCACAGCTTCACAGGCAATGTTGGCATCAATGCCACCCATCACACCTGTGACAGCCGAGCAGGAAGATGGAGCCACAGACGCCGACAAAGAGGAAGAGACGCTGCAGGGGCAACTTCAGACAGTCCTTCAAGATTGTGCAGCGGTGTTGAGCAGAGAGTGCACAACACCCACATTAGATGGGGAGGATATGGCTATGGACGATGCAGAGCGAGACAAAAAGAGACAAAGATCCATGGAGCCGTTTGGTGGATCTATCAAATCGTGATCTCGGGCGGTGTACATCCAGTGCAAAGGCATGATGTGCATTGCGCCATGACTCAGGTTGGAGTAGCTGATGCCTATGTACTGCCGCCATCAGTATGTGCAGCAAGCCATTTCCAACTTACAGAATTTGATCTCCATCGATTTTCCCATTGGCGACATTCGATTCAATATGAACCCAACTATCTCAATCCTTTTGAAGCTGTTTTATCTGCCTGGAAATTGGATTGGAGTGTCATTTGTGATCAATTCCATGATCATTATTTGCACTGCCAGAATTTTCTTTCCATGAGTATTGATCGGACCATGGACAAGATTGATCCTCCTCCTGCGTTTGAGCTCCGTGATACGTGTAAGCCCCGCAGTTGTAGTTTCTCTTGCATCCGATCTGCTTGCAAAGAAGTGTCACATACCAAACAGCAAGTTCGTTTTCATGATAAGATTTCGATCCATATTGGCCTTGATGACACTCTCCACATGCATACCTCTCTCATGGACACATTTGAATTGGCTACATGGTCGGATAAACCGTGGGTCAAAAAACCTTCCAAAAAAGACCGTGATATGCATCCGAAGTCTTCAGACAGGAAGGGCCGTACCCGTAAGTGCCTGCAGTCGAATAGCAGTTGTGCTTTTGAACCGATCTTGTTACGAACCACCGATGCCTTTTACAATGTCCCATCTTCTTGGAATGCTGGTCAGAATGAAGAACCTGCAGAAAACCTCGAAGATCCAGAAGATGCCAATCATTTCTTGCACGAAGCACCAGAATCTGTCCCAAATTTATTTGATGCGTTGCAAGCTGCAGGAGTTGTAGAAGGGCCAAGAATCCATGAGAGTATCTTTCTCAGAACATGGTTTGTGCATCATATCCATGCGCCTCAATGCTTCCAATATCGTGTGGTTGAAATCAATGGACATTGGAGATTGTGGTACCAAGACATTGTTGATGCTTGGAGAGACAGAATACAGCAAAATCAACAAACCATTTTCGACCTTGTTCATCCAAATCCGCCACGTACTGGTGACAACCATGAGTTCCTCTTTGATTTGATAGTTTCACAGGGAATTGCTGCTCCGAGAAGAGCCGGCCTTATTACTGTCCTACGAAGAGATGACAGAGATGCACGAGCGTCATATGCTGTCGCTGCTTCTCTCTCTGAACAAACAAGTGGTCACCAAATTGTACAATGTGCGGAATACCTACATGGATGCAATATCTATTCATGCACCATTAGACATGGACATGTGCACATCCCTTTCACGATGGAGCCCATTCATGCAACACAAGATGGCGATTCGTTTGCAATTGGTGTAGCCAGTAGGGCGTCTGGTTCTAATGATACACAGCTTTGCCTCTCAACGCAAACACTGAATGACAATGTTCATGATTTCGATCCACCTCAGGAGGAAGATGAATCAGACGTACCCTCGCCTAGCCTTGCAAACAGCAGTCAATCTGGTGATATTCATTGCAGTGTGCATATCCATCGACTTGGACATCAACAAAGTCATGGAAGGATCAGATGGGATACAATTGACAATGTTCTTATGGACATCAGTCGTCTTTTGAACTTGCCAGTCGATGATTTGGTTGCATTTCATCACTTACAAACGAATCCGGCTGATCAAACTGAAGCCGAGAAATCCATCATTTTACAACACGTTCTTGACATTCCTGCTGGTTCAACTGAGAAACTGGTGCTGATTGATATTGAAATGCATCTTCCTTTCAGACCAGGAACTGTGCCAAGAGCGCCACCAGTGCAGCGCCAAGTACATAGAACAGTACCCACGATCGTTAGACAACACGTTCTCATGATGACCCACACTGCTGGCTACCGCGCTTGGCACCCACAAAACTGCATTGTTTTTCATAATCATCAGGTCTGGACTCAACAGGATATTGCGCCCAGGCAAATTGAGCATGGTGCGTACCTCCGAATCATTGTTCCACCACCATTGGACAACACATGGGACATTGCACATGCTCTCCGAATTTTCCATGAAGCCTATGATCTTTTTGAGCCGACAGCTGCTGGACGCATTGCCGTGGATACTATGCACAATCTCATCAGACCTCAGCGACCAGCTGTACCAGATGGGAGTAATGACGTTGATCATTTCCATGCCATGCAACTGAATACCGAAAAATTGCCACTGCTTGATCCTGTGTTGGATTCCAACAGTAGTCATGCCGATTCTATCATCCCTGAGGATTGGATCATTGACTTACAGAGAGTTGTACAAGTACATGTGGACACTTGTCAAGAAGAAACACAGGATGCAATCGTTTTTTCAGTTCATACATGGCTCTTAGATCACCAATCACAACGCCTTTGCAGAGGCTCCAAGTTGGTCTTCCTTGACGACAATCCAGCTGACTGGACTGAGGATGTCATTAGACCTTGGAGGCATCTGATCAGACCTGAGGATCCTGTCTTTATTGATATTGTGCTGCCGACACCACCTACCTCAGATCTTGAAGATCACTTAGCACACATCATTTTGACGCAGAGACCATCGACAGAATCGTCTGTTTTGATTTCTATGAATTTCAAGGGGGATAACCCGCCAGACGTTCTCATTCGTGTTGCCACTGTCGTGCCGAAGAAATGCACTGTAAATGATGTCATGCATGCGACACCACTTCTTGCACTGTATTCCAAAAACAGAATCAACTGGGAACAACCAGAACTGCATTCTGATGATCAAGAATTTCGAACGCGGCATGGTCAGTGTATTCAGGTCACGATTCAGCCGGAAACTGACTTCAGCGCAGAAGTTTTGGAGAGTGAAGATGATTACAGCAATCTTCTGCAGTACAAATCTAAAGTTTCGGAGTTTTGCTTGGAACCGAAGTTCCCAACTATTGTACAGCCAGATACCTGTAAAGGCACTGACTTGCAAGAGGATATCGATGTCCCAATGACTTCAAGCCACCCGACCACCCGACTAAGTAGACGACCACGGCCGCTACATGATGGAACTGAACAGTGGTTTTGGGATCTTGGTCAATTTTTTTCTGCGGAGGCTGTCCAAGAAGTTTTTGATGGTGACTCGTATCTTTATCTGCAGACTTGGTATGTGGATCATCGACATTACATTCATTGCAGACAGCCAAGACCTCTCAGATTGGATCAGTGTGCAGTTGCGTGGCTGGAAGAATTCCGGTACTTGTGGCGGGACTTACTTGATCCCACAACTCCTTTTTCAGTCTTTGTCATTCGTCCACGGCCACCACAGGGGCGTTATCAGGACTACAGTTGCCATGTCCTCATTGAGCAAAATCGACCACAGGGCAAATCTGCAGGTGTTCTGACTACTGTACTCCCTGGTTCCAGAGAGAATGACATCGTTCAAGGAGCATACAGTGTGCCACGATTTGTCCGAATTGATGACCTCATCGAAACTATGAGCCTTCAACCATATTGTGATGGTAACCGTTGCACAGCCTTTTACCATTTTGAACCCATCCATTTGGTTCAAGCCACTGAATTAGCCACAGGTTTCAGCATCAAGATTCAGGTCACTCAGACACAGTTGCAACTGCCAATCTCACCGCAATCACAGCCGAGTGATTTTGATGAATCTTTTTTGATGCAACGACCGGATTCAAATGCTCCCCAAGAAGTTGGCGAGGTCTCACCGAGACCGGCAACTGAGCCAGCCTGTCCAACATTCCAATTTGATCCCAATGCAGCTGTTTTCACGCCTGAACTCCCAGATTTAGCCAGCATGAACGAGTTTATTCAAGACCTGCATGCACTTTGGTCGCGAGCTAGCTTTTCGTGGGAGCGTGAACCGCCCACTGCGGAATTCATTTCATGGTTTGTTGACCACAGAACCTGGTTCCCAAGATGTTTGGAGGGTAGGAGGCTAACTCTCGCTGGTAATTTTGCAAACTGGGAAGCTATTATCAAAGCGGTCTGGCATGACATGATTGATCCTGGTCAGATCCATGAAATGTATGTCATCATCCCACCGAACTTGGAAAGAGGTATTGCTGGTCATATACTGATTGTGCAAGCACCTCATGTATCATGGGTATCTGGTCTTGTGACTGTTTATGATAACTTCATTGGAAGAAGATCACAGCACATGACAAGACTCGTTATTACCACGGCTGAACACATTCACATTGAGCATGTCGTTAGTAGCTGTGGTTACGACCTTGCACAAGGACGACTTGATCCCAACATTCCAAGTCAGGTGTGGATTGATGGACATGAATTATTGCCTGGGCACCCTTGGCCTGGCCGCTCAGGACATGCAATCACCTTGCAAATCAGACGCCTTGTCGTGCCACTTCCAGTCAGACAAGTTCCACAACCAGCCAATGACGGAATTGCACTCCTGCAGACAGTGCTCAGCCGCAAGCGTATCCTATTGCTGGATGAATTAGTTCCAAAGGCTCTTTGTCCTGAGGCCCCCTGGATTCCTGTGCCGCTCATTCATTTGGATTTTTCACCAGCATTGCCCAAGGAATTGTTTCTGGAAGATGACACCACGGAACAAGAAGTAGAACAAGAATTGCACAAACTTGGATATAGCTGACATGTGTATGCGATGGGATCATCAGGTAAATTCGTCACAGTGCCAATCAGTTGGACTACAGATGCCAACCATGCCATTTATTGGCATTCAAATGCAACCACAAATGACGATTTCCTGTTGCACACCGAGACTGCACCCATGGATGAATTGACACACATGCGGTTTTTACATTCATGTGGATTCTTGCGTGCTGTCATTACCAATGTCCGAGTCCTCAGAACTGGGCTATTCATGATCACATTCCATAACAATCAACCTGAGCTTGAAGGGCCACAGAAAAAACGCAATGAGCCCACTCCATGGCCACTGCCACAAAAGCGTATTCTGCGGAATACCATGATCGACCTCTCTCAGGTCCAGGAACACCTACCGTTGCAGTGTTTGACACTCGGAATTGAATGGACTTACATTGAAGATTTTTTCCAATCAGCACATGGTGTTATCTGTCCATGGTTTAGCCACCTTGATTTGCCTGATTTTGTTTGGCAGGGATTACAACTCGCGACGGCAGTTGAAGGACAGATCTTTGACCCCAATGACTTTGATCGTTTGATCATCTATACAGATGGATCTTCCAAATCCTTCAACCGTAGAAAACCACCATTATTTGTCGCTGAGCATGACCATCCCGACGCTTGGGCATTTGTTGTCTTAGGAGAGATGTATCCAACGGATGACGCACCAGGAAGCATCACTTTCCTTGGATGGCAGGCACAGCAGATCATGTATGAGCATCAAAATCGGGCATTCACAGGCACTGACCAGATTGGAGCCGAGTTTGCCGAGAGAGAAGCCTTAATCTTTGCTGGACTTTGGCGACTTGCTCTCAATTCGACTATTCCAACAATTTTCAGAACTGATTCCAGCACGACTGCAGACCAATCAATGGGCAGAGCGGGGTTTGCTGCAACACACCCAACCATCGCCCTTTTGAGAGGAATTTTTCAAGCACTTACAGCTGGCATGCGATACTCAGAGCTCGAGGTTTCACATGTGAAAGGACACGCGGGTGACGTGTGGAACGAACTAGCTGACTTTCTTGCCAAAAGTGAAGCCGCCAATGGTCATCGTTTGCATCGACAATCGATCAACCTATTGGAGCTCCAATCCATCATGCCATATCTCTGGATGTTCCTTGACAGTAATTCCGGATTGCCGTCACTGACACGACATGGTTTTGATGTGAGCCCACCGAATCTGCCAGCCGCTGACAAATCTGAAACAGTTCAGCAAGATCCTCAAGGTCTATCCCAATGTCAAGATGTGAATCTCAGCGTTGCGTCTTTGAATGTGGGTTCGCTATTCCTCTCGCCTGATGGTTTCAGTGGAAAATTGACCTACCTTAGACAGCAGATGAATGCACATGCAATTCACATCATGGGCATACAAGAGGCCAGAAGCCCTCCTGGAGTAAGTACTGCCGACGACTCGACGACATTCTCCGGATTTCGGGTGGGTCTGACAATCGCAACCTGGGTGTTGAGCTTTGGATATCTATGACACAGCCTCTGCTGCACAAGGATGGCAAACGCAGTAAATTGTCTCGTTCGGACGTCCAACTCTTACATCACGATCCTAGACGGTTAGTTGCACGGGTTTCCCATGAATGTCTTAACTGTTTTTTGGTAGTCCTCCATGGACCACAAAGTGGACGGCCAAAACAAGAAAGACAAACCTGGTGGGACACAACGCATTCTATAGTTTCGGAAACATGTCGGCATCTTCCTCTCTATGTCATGATTGATGCAAATGCGAAGACTGGGCCTGTCAACCATCCGATAGTTTTTGAAAATGATGACAGCAGCTCTGGAAATACTCCTTTTTTCCTTGATTTTCTGTCGTCATTCAATTTATGCCTGCCTTGCACTGGCCCTGCGCATCAGGGTGGGAAGAACACCTGGACGTCACCTGATGGCATACATGACCATAGGATTGATTTTGTAGCTATTCCGCAATCTCAGCTTTCATGTTGCACTTGGTCAGGAAATGTTCATACATTGGATCAAGGGAATGTACATAACGACCATATTGCCACTGCGCTGCAGCTCAACTGGAAAGATACAATTTCACATCGACATGCTCCAAAATTGCCAGCAGTACGTCATGATCGGACTCGAATTGCCAGTAGGCGTAACTCGATCAGCCTGGAGCCCCACACAGATTGCACCTGGCAGTGTGACATTGAGACCCAAGTCCAAGCCTTGAACTCTACCATCCATTCTGCTCTGACAGCAGCTTGTCCAATTGACAAGCGGGCACCTAAGAAGTCGTTCATTGATGAGGCAACCTGGGCCCTTCGATCACATAAGCTTCGTTTGAGACGCAGAATTTCACAAGCCAACAAGCAAGCCCGATTGGATCTCATGAGCATGTGGTTCAAACAATGGAAAGGACAATCAACTGCACATGAACATACAGAGTTTGTACAACACCAGTGTACAGTTTCATGCGCATTGTTGAAACTGTCGTGCAGTTACTGGTCATGTACACGCCGACTGAAAGCACAACTACAGTCTCTGAAAAGCCGTACCATGCAAACTGTTATTGCGGAAGCTGGACACAATGCTTCAGCTGGTGCACTCTTGCACTTGATGAAACCATTCATTGGTTCGACCAACCCCAAGAAACAAAAAAGAGCTTGCTTGCCTATCGTTAAACAAGCCAAAGGTAGTATATGCAATGATCCAACAGAGGCACAGAACAGGTGGATTGAGTTCTTCCAGGACATGGAGGGAGGTACGCGAATGCCACAAACCCAGTACAGACATCACTGGTTGCAAGGTCTCTCTCATTTCCTCCAGACTGAGGCAGAATGTATCCCAATCCAAGATGTCCCATCACTGTGTGAATTAGAAATTGCTCTACGCCGAGTTCAAATTGGGAAGGCAATGGGATTGGACCAAGTTCCACCAGAAATATGTCACTATTGCCCAGTGCAATTGGCGCGACTCTGCTATCCGATTTTGCTCAAAGCTGCGATCCATGGCCAAGAAGCTGCTGAGCACAAAGGAGGCAAGCTCGCAATTGCTTGGAAACAACGCGGTGACGTGAGAGATTGCCATACGCATCGATCACTCCTTGTTTCCAGTCACATTGGAAAGACTATCCACCGTGCACTCAGACAAAAATCCCATCACTTCTATGATGCCTATATGCAACGACAGCAATTGGGCGGAAAACAGAAAATGCCAGTATCGATACCATTACATATGACACGTGCATTTCTTAGATGGAAGTCCAGAATTGCGAGTCCGACCGCAGTTGTTTTTCTTGACTTGACTGAAGCCTTCTATCGAACCCTCAGACCTCTTGCGGTTGGTGGCGACATGTCAGATCATAGCATTAGTTTAATGTGTGCCCGTCTTGGCCTTGATTCTGATGCACTTCAAGATTTGAACCACCTGCTCCAAGAACCCGCGGCATTAGCTGAAGCACAGGCCCCTGCCTATGTCCAACGGATGCTCCAGGCCTTTCACCGGGACACATGGTTCCAAATTGGAACACAACCAGATCTCATCCGCACCGAGATTGGTTCCAGGCCGGGTGACAGCTTTGCTGATGTCGTGTTTGGTCTGTTGTGGGCCAAACTCCTCCGAAAATTAGAGGCCAGTCTTGTCAGTTTTGGCATCCTGGAGTTTATACCCGATCTTGAGTTTCCAAATCCATTTGACATTCCGTGTCGTGAGGCACACCCAAGGATCCCTCTCCTTGGGCCAACCTGGATGGATGATTTGAGTATGCTCATCACTGCACCTAGTAATGCAGCACTGGTTACCAAGACTAAACTTGCCGTCAGCTTGTTATTGGATGGTTGTCTTGATTTCCAAATGGCTCCGAACCTCAAGCGTGGTAAGACAGAAATCATGTTCACATTCCGTGGAGCTCAGTCGCGCAAATTTCGTAGGGAGTACTACAGTGCACAAGCCGGCTTGTCAGTTGTTTGTGAACGACAGACGGTCAACGTGCCTATTGTCACGAGATACGTCCATTTAGGTGGCTTGATACATCACCGTGACATCAATCGCCCGGAAATCAGAAGAAGGTTAGCTATTGCTACACAAGCTTTCCAACAACACAAGCGCCTGATCTATCGGAATCCACAGCTGTCATGGAAATCCAGATGCGACATGTTCAACACACTCATCATGAGTAAATTCCTGTATGGATTAGAAAGTTGGACATTCACTACGAACCTGAGCCGTCTGCAGATTCACAATGGTATCATGCGTTTGTACAGACGTTTTCTTGGTGTGGCGCCGGATACACATATGTCTGATGCTGAAGTCTTGATCAAGACCAACATGCCTGATCCAACTGAATTGCTGAGACGGGCCCGGCTCCGTTATTTCGGCACATTGCATAACTGCCGCCACCACTCTCATTGGGGGCTTTTGCAAGAAGACACAGTTTGGACAGACATGATCAGAGATGATTTGCAATGGCTCTGGCGTCAGATTGGAGGTTCCACTGGTTTGAGTGACCCTGCCCATCACTTTCCTGTCTGGCAAGATCTCATTGTTCATCATGGTGTCTACTGGAAGAAATTGATTAGGAAAGGCATTCAGCACGCTTGTTTACAGAGAAAGAAAGAATTCCATGCGGTTGAACTCCACCAGAAAATTGGCACACTCTTGCAACAGGAGGGTTGGATCGATTGCCTCCCCACAAGTGACATTCGTCATGGACCGCCTGCGGACCATACTTGTTATGGATGCATGCAATGTGGCCGAAATTTTGCATCCTTTGCAGGAGAAAGTGTCCATATGTGTCGGACGCATGGAATCATTGCCCAAGAAAGATTTCTTTTTGGTGGCACACAGTGCCCTTGCTGCTTGAAAGAATACCATTCTTTTTCAAAGGTACTTGCGCATCTACGTTGCTCATTGAGATGTCGTGACACATTGAGGGCCAGAAGAATGCATTGTGCGCCAGAGCCTGGTACTGGTTCACATGTCGATCGAGCTCAGCTTGAAACCAATGATGGGGCTTTGCCCACGATGCAAGCACAGGGACCCCGACTGCCTGCTCCGATGCCTCGACATTGGGATGACTATGATATTTCTTTTCTTGAAGCAATTTATTTGCATCTTGTTGAGGATTCGACTCAGGGAGTTTTGGCGGTGTCACTGAGAAATTTCATTCGTACTTATCCGATCAGCTGGACAAAATGTAGGAAGACACTTGCAGCATTTTGTCAGCAATTCACCGAAGAAGATGCAGCAGTCCTTAACTGGTCATTTCCTGTTGTTGTCCACTGCATGACACAGATGCAGCAGGAGAAGTATTGGGACTTTTTGCATAACGATCAAGCAGCAGTCATCCTCCACAAGCCTGCCACAATTTGTGAATGGGAAAAGTGGTGTGCGGATCTTGCGGATCAACCACCACCTGAATGGACCCAATGGACTCCCCAACCGCAGTCACTCACCAGACAGAAAATCCTTTTGCATGCCTTTGCAGGAAGGAGACGACGAGGTGACATTGAATGGTATTTGGATTTGCTCTCACAGCAGCTTGAGGGCTGCGTCATACTGACTGTATCCATTGACATCGTCATCGACTCAGTTCATGGTGATATTGCCAAAGAGGAGACAAGAGTGATGTGGTTACACCACATTAGACAGGGCCATGTGGCAGGATTCATTGCGGGTCCACCATGCAATACATGGAGTCGTGTGCGAGCAGTGCAACTGGCTGGCAATAAAGGACCTCGAGTCATCCGTACACCTGACGCACCTTGGGGTTTGAACGAGTTGCGTTTGGGTGAACTCCATCAGGTGACCATTGGTACAATTTTGCTGGGTTTTGCATTTGAATGTATGCTGGCCATGGCCATGTACAGTGGATCTGGATTGCTTGAACATCCGAAAGACAGCGAAGATGAATCAACAGTTAGCATATGGAGGTTGCCGATCCTCCGATTGCTATTACAATTTCCTGGCATTTGTCCCAAGGGCTTTTCGGAGCGCCAAGCCCGAAGCCGACAACATTGCTAGTGCTGAGACTGCCTACATTAGAACGCTCTCTACATGATGGCATGCTCTGTTCCAAACTCATCTTTGGAACCACCACTGGCAAGGATGACAAAGGAAATTTCAACACGGCTCCGTTGAAAGAATATCCCCCAGGGCTTTGTAGGGCTATTGCCCAAAGTTTTGGCACTGATTTTAGTGCGTCTTCCACCTGTGTTGAGCACGGTGACCTGCCAGACCTCCCAATTTCGTTTTTGGAGCTATGCACGAAGATGCGTGACCACGATTTTGGGAATTTCATAGGTCTGGACTGATTGAATTCGATGTTGCAAAGCCGCAACGAACTTCGTTACTATGGGCTAGAGGAAAAAAAATATATATATATATATACGTAATATGTATATTTTAAAAAAATGATATATATGTAATATATATATATATATCTATAATGGGTATGCCATTTCTTCAATTTCTCCCTGTTCGGATCAGGGCGCGCACCAAATGGCCGACCAGCCGAGACCCGTCCGGCCACGCCACCTCGCAGCCGCCAGAGCCTTATTGCCGCCACCATTTACCCATAGGATCCATGTATGCTATATATGGTAACATGGATCCCATCAATATACCCCAGTCATGTTAGCATATATACCAGCACCATGGATCCTATGGGTTATAGATGGTTTACCTATTAAAAATGGTGATTTTTCTACATTTTCTATTGACTGTTGGATAAAATTAAAGGATAAGATGGAAGAAAAATTACCATAAGTAAAATAACTATGGATGATTATGGTGATTTAACTGTTGGATATGGATAAATGATTAGTGGGATATGGAAGAAACGGTTAGTTATGGTCCATAACATATAAATTTATGTTAGTTATGGTGATTTAACTGTTGGATATAGAAAAATTCAGCATAACTAACATAACTATGGATAATATGGATTAATTAATATGGATAATATGGATTAATTAACTGTTGGATAATATGGATACCCTTTGGTAAACTAACATGAGTGGAAAACTACCATTTATAGCTGGACAATATGTGGATAATATGTGGATAGTGTGGAAAAAAATGGATAATATTCCCCATTGATGGAATAACTATGGATGGTATAGCTGGATGTTCATTCCCATATGGGGAAATAAACATCCAGCTATGAAATGTTGAGGAACACGTTCCAAATGTGATGAACATATCAAAACACATGTTCCAAAATGCGTCAAAAAAACTCAATAAACATCATCATCATCATCATCATCATTTCAAAGTCTAGTTTTAAGTGTTCAGCATGTTCCAAAGTCTACAATTTGGTTCGAAATGAACAGTCATAAAACATGAACCAAAGTTAGAAGTAAAAAAAAAACAGAGTTTTTTTGAAAAAAACATCAGGATCATAGAATTGGATGATGGGAAAATTTTAGCAGGAAACCCCATCAAATTTGATGGTAAAAACCCATGGGTTTCCGGTTAAGATTTTCCCTTAAACCAATCCATTGACAGGAGCATTAGCACCTGCTCCTGCAGCGCGCGCCAAAGACTCAGTGATTCCACAGATTCCACAAATTCCGGCAGAAGTTGGAAGGTATTGTGACATATTGTGATATATTCAGTATATATTCAATGTGTAAATATATATATATATATTAAGTATACATATATTAAGTGATATTACATGATGTTTAGTATCTTAAGAATATCATATTGATACTATGAAATAGTTCAAAATACTCACGATGATACCTCTATCCGCATATTAACAAGACGATGCAAATCGGACTGCATATCGTAAGACCAAGCACAAAAGGTCGTGAGGATCGATGGAGAATAAATGCTGTGCTGACACGAACCATCTGCACGCGATGCAAGTTGCACATATTTTCCGCCGAGCAAAGCCAGGATCAAATCAATCAAAGCAGTAGATCCATAGGAATTCCATAGGAATTCCATAGGATTGCAATCGTTTTGATGGTTTTGTGTATCGTGAGAATCGTGGGACACACTGAAGCCATGGTGTCGTTTTTAAAAGTCTAAAGGACACCCATTCCATGACATGAGATTCCGCCATATTCCACCCATTCCACACGATCCGATCAGTGCATGTGACATTAATGACAAGCATGACTGAAGACCTAAAGGACCTGAAGCAGGACCTAAAGGATTCCTTTTTTTGTGATGTACCAAGCCAGAACTAAGACAGGACGACAAAGTAAGGAGACAGGCCATTCTGCAAAGTGATGCCAAGTAAAAGTATTGAAGTTCGTATGGTAGGAAACCTCGATGGCCTTCTGTCTCATTTCCTTTGACTGGATGTTCATATATCCTTCCACCTTGAGTGCTCCTGTTCCTCCGCTTTTCCTTCTTAATCTTCTTTCATTTACCAAGGCAGAAAATGAACTGTTATTTGTGTAACTCTGGAGAATTTAGTGCAGAAATTGAGTATAGCAGCTCTATGCAGCTCTCATAGCAGTTTGTTTTTTTTCATTCGGAAACTCAGAAACTCCGTCTTCAGCTCTGTTCGCAGTTCTGCAGGTGGACCTTACCCCTGGCGACGTCAAAGTGTCACCGCAGGTGCTGGTGTGACACCGCCGTGACACCCCTTTCAACGTGTTGAAAAAGTGTGTTGTCACCTTTGCAGCAACATGCAGCAACTTTACTGGTGTCAGTATGCTGTGTGACGTGGTTGCACTCAGATGCAACGTTGAAGGTGAACTCCGCAAGATGAAAGATATGAAAGTGTAGACTTCAAAGACGTCTCCATCTCCAATGTTCGCAAGCCTTTTCTCGACGTTTCAGTCATCGCTGATTGTTTCAGGTGTACGTCAGCCATGAGAAGGATTTCACGCACCTGGTCGAGAAGGTTCCGCAACTATGTCGAATCCATTGGGCATTAGCTGTAGCTTTGAGGTTCATTTCCTGGATGGAGCTTGCCCCGGAAAACCAGGGACCCCTTGGTGAAATTCTGAGATATGATCATTTTAGGGCAATTTCACATCAACCGGTGACCATGGCCTTGTGTGGATTCACAGATCTGAAATCACTGAAATTTTCATCGCTGGGAGAGGTCGCGATAGAGAATCTTGCGGAGGAAGGTCAGCTGAGTCAGCTGCCATATGCTGCCATTCACTGCCACTGCCAAGCTCTGCTAGCGAAACAAACCGGCCGCCGTTGCCAGGTCGCAAAATCCATTCTGCCAACGTCATGGCGAACATCGCCAGAAGCGTTGCCACTTTTGGCATGTCTTAAGCCATGTGCCGATCGCCGGCTTTTTGAAACTTGTCTGACGGAGTTGCACCGCCAGGGAGATGATGGTGTGCACAATCGTTGCATCAACGCGTTGTTGCAGTCCAGATCTAAGACATTCTCGGCCAGACTATCGGCACCATTTTTATGTGGAAAGGTGATGAAAGGTGTCTGTTTAACAGTTCGTACCGGATCTGAAAATATCTGAAATATGTCAAGATGAAGAAAAACGAAGAAAATCATCTCTGCTGCAACCAGGCCTACAACGTGGCAACCAGACGCAAATCCAAACGGCTTCCTCTTGACTGCAGCAGAGGCGCGACATTTTCCGCGGAAAATGCTTGCATTCAGAAGTTGTAGACTCAGTTGCAGACTTTGGATTCATTATGATATATTATGAATCAATTATGATATATTATGGTGATTAATGGTGATTAATGGTGATTAATGGTGATTAATGGTGATTAATGGTGATTAATGGTGATTAATGGTGATTAATGGTGATTAATGGTGATTAATGGTGATTATGATTCACCATATCTTATGATTCATGAATTTTCTGGCTCCATTGGTGACTTCTCTGGCTGCCAGTGCCAGGTGAGTCGATTGTGTGACATGACCCTTGAGGCGCGGTCAGTGTGGTGTTTTCGGTGTTGAAAAATGGTGGTACTGAAGAAATGGATAAAAACTTTTGTTGTTCGAAAGTCGCATATTAATCTCCATAAATCTCATGATTACCCATGATTTACAATGGATGTTCATCTTATTAATGATTGATGGATGATAAAAATAGATGATTTGGAGGTAAGGTTGGCCTCTGATTTTTCCATGGAAACCGTATGGTCGCCATGTTTTTGAACCTCCCCGACTGTCGCCATCTCCGTCGCCATCTCCAGGTCCTGAAGTCGCAGGAGATGATCCTTAGGCTTCGAGCACCCATCAAGGCCCAGCCATGGGGTTTCCATGGGGGTACCCAATAGCTGGATGGTGATTTTTGTAAAAAATTGATCCGTTTTTTTCAATGAGTTAACAATGGCAAAATGAAAACTCATGAAAAAACACGTTATTTTTTTAAGGAAATGTCATTTAAGATAGTTTTCCGCTGGGATGTAACTCAATATAACTATGGAGAACCGATGTTACCATGGATGTGACAAACATCATATAACTATGATATACTATGATATACACTAATATACAACCAATAATGGGATGTTTCAGATGGCATTAGAAGGGGATTCTCGGAAACACAGAAAGCTCACGGTAGCGTCACAATCCGCCAGTACTACGCCAGCCAGTTGCTGAATGTTCTCAGGTCTATGGTGACATTCATGGTCAGTACCTCGACCTGATGCGGCTTTTTGCAAGGCGAGTGCCATACGTTGCGACTCGGATTCGAGTGCCATGTCCTAAAACCATCCTGAAACCCTCCAGCAAGTGTTTTATGCGGCCAGGTACAAAGCACCTTCTGATGGTGAAAACGGCGACATCGTGGCAACCTCAAAAAAATGCAATCAGTTTGTTTAAAATATGTCAAATATATCTATATATATAATATATATTATACACATATATATATATACATTATATATATACATATATATGTATCAAATATGTCATGATATTTCAGATGTCAGTCAAGATTGATCAAAAGGTTGGCTTGGATTGACACTCCACGGCCAAGGACTCCATGGACTACCTGTTCCTAGGTGACTTCGTAGCCGGTTCCTGAAAACGCCTAATTAACGTGGTCAGCATGGTCAACGTGAATGCATGGAATGATCGGAATGAATCGGTTGATGATCACATTTCTACAGCAGTTTCCAAGTTCTTTGTTGGAAATTGTTCACTAACATGAACTAAGGACCGGGGGGCATTCTCTCTGGAGACCGTTTGTCTTCTTTTCTCCCTCAAGGTGGGAGTATTTTTTCAGTGATTCCTGCGATCGACCTCGATCTGCGATCTGCGATCTGCACTTTCTCAGGTAAAATATCCCAATCAGATCCATCTGATCAGGGGCAACCACGAGGCGCGACATGCGAGAAATCCATGGCGCTGTCGCAGACTGTGGCACAACGTGGAACATGTGTGGAACATGTGGGTTTCCTGGTGGCACTCACCTCGAGGATCCAACAATTAATGCCATCTACGGCTTCCGCGATGAATGCCGACGTCGCTTAAACGAGGCGCTGAAAAAACACTGCCACTTGAGATTCGAGATCCGAGATCCGAGCGCTGTCAGGAACCTGAAGATCCAGAATCGTGCTGGAACAAATTTAACAGGGTCCCTTGGATGCAGGTTGCTGTCATCTGATCTCAGAAGTGTCAGAATGAAGTGACTTTTTTAAGTGTATTCTATATGATTCTCTTGTATCCTCCTTTACAAGCCATTGTTTACGAGTTTACCAGTTTACCTTGCCACTTGTTTGTCCATTGCATCATCTCCAATATGATTGAGGAGTCCAGGACCTTCTTTTTGCTTCGTGTCTTCTGATTTTGCAACCTCGGCTTTCCTAGGTCCCTCTTTTGGATTTCCAAATCCCTCTAACATCATCTAACATCATCAAATATGTCCATTTTTTGTATAGTTCAAATGAGTTCAGGATTTTTTTCCCTTCATGTTTTGTTCTTGGAAGGCGTCCTTCACATTCCTTCACCATGATTGTTATGATTGGGTCAGGAATTTCCCGTTTCTGAGGCCTTTGAATTTCTTCCAGTGGGAGCAGTGATCGAGGATAAGATCCTTTGTCTCCACGGTGGTGCGCAAAAAGTTGATGCCATCTCACAGCTTCCACAGCTTCCACAGCTTCCACAGCTTCCCTCCAAAGTTATGTATGGGCGAAGAGAAGATCAGGGATAGAAATATTGAAAGATATTGAAAGATATTGAAAGTAGCTGCATGGGAAGAGATACTAAGATAGCTTCAAGTATAGCCAGTATAGCTATAGCTTCAGCCATCCCAAAGTGTCCATCCGTATTTCTTGTGCGAGGTATCGGGGGCTCAGTCAATTCTGTAGCTGAAGTTCGTGCCTTGCAAAGGCCATTTCTTGATCATGGATTTTGAATGATTTTGATGCAGAAATTGTTTCACACAGTGTTTGAAACATCTCATGAAATCCATTCAGATTTGTGGATTTTTGTCCTTTGCTTTAGCTTGACGCTTCGCAAATCGCTGTCCAGGCCGCTTCATGTAGCTCAGATTCCTCAGACGCCCATGGAGCAACGCATCACAGATTTGTTGCAACGGCACTCAGAGGGTTCGCTGATGCTATCAGTTCTTACGGCCTCGCAATCAACAGAAAGGCTTTTCTAAAAAAGATTCCGCAATGATATGGATGTGGCATAAAAATTGCCATTCTGTGTTTTTTCACGCCCAGGGGCCCGGCTGTGTGGACTGCTAAAGTTCCACACAGTTGATGTAGCGACAAAAGACCGGATTTTAACTGCTCTGAGGTGGAGTGATCCTTCTGACAATGACTCCGTAACTTGCCGGCGATGTCAGAAAGAAACCATCGGATTCTCGAACACCATTCTTAATTTGCATCTAAAATATGGTAAAATATGGTAAAATATGGTAAAATATTGTAAAATATTGTAAAATATCGTAAAATATGGTAAAATATGGTAAAATATGGTAAAATATGGTAAAATATGGTAAAATATGGTAAAATATGGTAAAATATCGTAAAATATCGTAAAATATGGTAAAATATCGTAAAATATCGTAAAATATGGTAAAATATGGTAAAATATGGTAAAATATGGTAAAATATGGTAAAATATGGTAAAAAATCGCATCAAAAATCACCTTAAACACTTTGGTGATCTTTGAGCTTGAGCTCCATGTTTGAATGAGACGACGGTGGATTTTCCGCCAGTGCCAGGTTCCAGGGGTCACGCCTAACGAGACACGGGATCCTGATGGCACTGGCCGAATTGTGAAGTTTGGCCCGGATCGGGTGGAGGCTGGAGCTGGAGACGAAAATCCGCAAAGTGACGACTTGGATATCTTTGGATGTATGGAAAACAGCCAGACGTATAGAAAACGTATGAACAGAATATAGACTTAGATGATCTTAGATGTATATTGGTGGTTTGTCAGCTGTGATTTTGTTGATTTTGATCCAGGAGTTCCTTGAAAAGAATCATCCACTGTCCATGATTATCCGCGCACACGAATGTGTGATGGTCGACACCTCAATGGGAGACCCAGGGGACGGTCAGACGGTCACGACATGTCACGACCGAGGATGGTTTCGAACGCTTTGCCAATGGCAAATTGATCACGGTGTTCAGTGCCACGGAGCGCAGCTGAAAACTCCGAATCGCTTGGGTCGTGAGTAACTTGCGACATCTTGCCATGCTTTGGCTGTAGAAATGCATATTTGATATAGAATGATATAGATTGATATAGATTGATCATCATATATCTGTAACGATATGACGATAAAATGATATGTATTAAAACCCATAGGATCCATGGTGCTGGTATATATACTAACATTGGGGGTATATTGATGGGATCCATGGAGCACCATTTATAGCAGCACCATGGATCCGTCATGGGAAATGACATGAGGACTATTGCGGCCATCACAAGAACGCTGGCGCCTTGCTCTTTGTTCGACGTGATCTCACGATTGTGCCGAAGTTGGGAGCTCAGTGGTCATCATGGCCTCGATTCAATGAGGTCTAACTCTTTTCAAAGCATCGGAAGCATCGGAAGCATCACCTTTTTTCGTTTTTTCAGATCTAATCAGATCAGCTATCACATATCTAATCAGATCTAATATGATCTTAAAGTTTGGAAAGATTTTACTGATATCAGAACTGTGACACCTTTTTCGTTTCTGACCTGTCAGATTTACGGATGGATCATCCGGTGGGAAAGCGAGGTTGATCTACCCCGTGGAACGATTGGGGGCAATGTGGGATCCACAAATCATCCAACAGCGACCTCCAACACCACCTCGTCCAGTCCACGGCTCAAACGGCTCAGTTCAACTGGCCGCAACGTTCGTTAACCGTTGTGGTAAAGTTGGAGACATCTTGGAAAGATTTGGACCGTTGTTGAGTCTATAGACGTCTATAGACATCTATAGACATCTATAGACATCTATAGACATCTATAGACATCTATAGACATCTATAGACATAGAATTAAAATTAGAATATTGTAGAATGATTATAGACATCTATGGACCGTTGTTCTGAAGTGGATGAATTGGATTCTGAATCCACGTCGCCAAGGTCCCAAGAGCCAGAAAACTCAATGACGACGAGACAAGCTCTTAGTTTTTAAACTAGATTTGCTGAGTTATTTTGAAACGTTTTGAAACCACATGAAACCATATGGGAAGCGGCCCGAAAGAGTGCAGAAAAGTGCTAAAATGTTAGATTCTCCAAGAGATCTTCTGAAAAAGATGACGCTGAAACATGGTGAAACGATGAATTCGGAGTTCTTTGAGTGAGTTACTTGAGTTGCTTGAAAGGCCTTTGAAAAAAGACTTGACATTCACAGCTCTGAATTGCTGGCAAAAATTGCATCATCCTTCAGCACCACTGCAGGCCAGGATTGGAACCATGGTGACGTGTTGGTTTCCTACGATCAACAGTAGTGCTTTGTAGCGCTGCCTTTTCCGTGGAGTACGTCACACCCATTGCCAACTCTGTGAGCATGAAAAAATCTTTGAGTCTCCTATCATTTGCCACCTTAGACCACCTTGTTGTATTGGCAATCTGAATTTGCCATCAGCCTCATGAGCAGAGCTAATTACCTCGATATGATCCCAGAATGCATCAATTATATTTAATTATATATATATATATTCAATTATTCAACTATCATGTTCTGTGGATGTTCTGTGGATGTGTTGAACTGTGTCCAATGTCGAACACTCGAGATGGCGCCAATATGGATGGCACCATGCCTTTGCCTCGTCTCACGGCCGAGCGTCTCACGCATCTCGGTTCGATCTCAGCAAACGCCGAAAAAACGCCTACGCGGCCGCAGTGGGAACCTATGGGAATTATATCTTTGAAGGGGTTCCTATACAGGGCCAACGTCTGTATAAAATATTAAATAATATCGCCATATATTTGTTTGATTCTGCCGTCCTTTTCCCAGCTGCTTTTGGAAGTCTGGAAACGGAATTGCCTTGCGGCACCCTCCAGGGGCGCCAGTCAGCAGGCTCCAAACCGCACCCTGCTCCCTGCAACAGCACAAGCACCCAGACCCCAAAGCGCACACTAAACATCTCACAACTAGATCATTGAAGATTATTGAAGACTCAACTAGTGATTTTTGACTCTGCTGGAGTCAAGCCAAACGACGTGTTCGACGGTCACTAGCTTAGTGTTTCAACGCGCCGAAGGGCGGTTCTGGGCAGCTCAATGCGTCGAATATGGACCGGTTCGCACGTCGGCTGGTAGTCAGTTTGCGCACCCGAGCCTACGCGGTGCCTATGCGAAGTCTACACGAAGCCTAAACCTGTTCCAGGGGTCCACTGGCAGAAATCTGGTAAAATATTCGGCTCAAATAAGAGCCTATAGCATCCTATAGCAACCTATAGCAACAAGCAGGTGGAAAGCGAAGAGCATCAAGATTTCAATTGACATGGACAGCTAGCGATTTAAGCTGTTTCGTTGCCCTTATATAACTGCTCTGCCGGGCGGGTTCTTGATTTGCTTATATGCATAATTATTCATAAATAATTTTAATATATTTAATATGTTGTTTCTGGATAATATTAAATTATTGAATTAATTTATTATTTGAGATTATGATATCGATTATATACGAAATATTGAAATGAAAAACATATTATTTATATGAATAATATTTTTTTGAAAATTAAAAAATAATTTAAATTAAAATGTTATATT